TTCGCAGCCATCGTCTCCAATCCACACCTCGTGCAACTTACCAGCGGGCACATCGATTCTTGCACCCACTCCAAACGTCTCTTTCTTGACTTCTCCATTGTGTAATTTGGAGTTGTCATCCGGATATGTGATGGTAAGACTGCCACGGCGGATGAGATGCGTCGTCAAACCCCTATGAGTATGCGGGGGGTAGTAAGCGTTGCTGCTGAGAGAATCAGTAAATGACTCAGAAGGGAATGGCATCCCAGATCTATCTTAGAGGTAAATGCAAAGGTATAAGCTGGTAATACCTTCCATCAGTCCAGGTAAAGACATGTTTGAAGCCCCACTCTCGGACTAGACGTTCATCGTCGCTGCGACTTTTAATGGGATAGTTTTGTGCCATGATCTGTGCTTTCACCCTGGGCAGCAAAGCAATCAGGTACTTGTTGAGAAGGATTTTGGTTTGTTCTCAGCGATTGCACTCTTGAACCTAGTGTAATGCGATGGTGGGGGAATATTGTTGATGACGTCGACGGAGAATGGCCAAGTATATGAAGAAGATCGTAGAATGCTTAGCCGCTTCAACGATGAGTATGCACTCACGCACCCTTGTACCATACCCTTGGCTAATGGGGCGCTTGATTGCAGCTCTTTTATATGCCTGAGTGTCGATTTTATGGTCTCTTCATTTGACCTGTCGTCCTCGACCCGTAGACACTTGTACGGCTGTAGTTTGTCTGCGGCACCAGTACATATCAGTAACATTTCAAACGATATATCTCATCGTCAATTATGGATAATCAAGACTTACTGTTGAATGAGCCTAGACATTAATGGAAACTTTGCCAAACACATCCGTTGCTGTATAGGAGGCTATATACGGAGTACCATAGCATCCTTGGATCGTGCATTAGGATAAGCTAATATTCACATCCAAGCCAAGTATGAGACGGCAAGAAACGACTTGTAGGTCATCTTTGTTTGAAAAGACTGCGAAAGCCAAAGCAAGTGAAGAATGGTTGAAGAAGGAATCAGTAGAAAAGAGTGCCTTAATTTCAAGGCAATGAGCAAGCATACACCAGATGAGGCAAAGGCTGTTGTCTCTTAACCTCTTCTTTCATTCGTGTGAGGTTTCGTTATAAGCATCCATCATTCTATTGTACAAGAAGTCCTTTGTGATCCTCTCTTCATCTCTCACCGTCCAGGATTTTCTCAATATCGTACAATACAGCCCCGTCAAAGCATCTTCCAGGTCCCTTGGTCGGCCCTATATAGGCCCAAGCCTGGAAATTGTGTCTCCTGCGTTTCCGGCGTTTGCCTCAGATACCTGCCATCCAGCATTTTCCGTGGGACAAACAGCCAGAAGGTCGAGACTCGGTGGAAAATCTTCTATAATTTGTTTTTGAAGATAGGGATATCCTCCTTTCCCCAGAGAGTTTCTGAATTTCCTGGAGCTTCGTTGAAAAAGTCACCAGAGGATGATCTAACAAGGTGTTAGTTTTAGTGGATTCGTTTCATCCTTTCACAATGAGTTATGCTCTCACCAAGGTCGATCAACATGGTGTGCCACAGACATGACAGTCCTTTCCTGGTATTACCCAAGTCTCTTTTCCCTGTCCCTGGCAAGATGGACAGCGAACACCAGGCATCTGACCAAGTGACGAGAATCAGCAATGTGCAAATAAGGAATTATGACTCGCTGCTCAATTCTTACCGGCATTGTGACTATGATTTGATCAGGTCTCTGCTAAAAAAGTGTGTGGTGACTCTCAAGAGATGTGTGGTCTCGAAATCTTTGATTCCTGGGAATGGGTTGAAAGTTCTTCGACTTTAAAGCTTCAATCTTCAAACAAACTTTCCCCTGGACCTGGATAGAAAGCTCTTGTGGTTGAATGACCGGACCTGAAAAACTAGGCCGATCTTCTTTATATAGCCTGGCGAGTAGGTGACCGGCCCGACGACCCTCGCTAAGAGGCTGAGGATTCGAAATCTCCATCGGGAGATCTTCAGTCTGGATTGGACCGATTCACACTAGACAAGTTGAATTCAATGCATCCAAAGAGAAGAATGTGAATCCTCGCAAAGACGCAAACACCACATCTTGTCGAAAATCAAGCTTATGCACTGGAAAGCTCGGATGATCCCGTCTATGACAAGCGTCGTGCATTCAGCTAATCAAGCATGATTGTTTGTTAGCGTCCAGCTTTACATTCTACATGCGAGATACGTATGCAGACTTTCCAAAAATGATTTGGAGTCAACCAAACCTCTGGATGCGCTAAAAGAATCGAGGAAAAGCATAATGATACCCATGCAATGGGTCACAAGCCGTTTCCTGCAGTTGACAGAGAACTGTCCTTTTGGAAGCCGTTTATGCAACAGAGAGTCTGCATTATCTATCCAGAATACTCCATCCATACTTCACCGGGACATTGCACATTGTAAGCAAAACTGTTTATTATGTGACTGGTTGCAAATGACGTTGCTAAGAGCAATCAATCCAAAATAGGGATTCAATGGAGAATCGGGGCCCCCATTGTCCCGACTCTTGGAACTCTCGGCAAATACCTAGTCTATATGGGTCATGCTCGATTTTACTGGGCCATGCGAATTGTCATCCTCAAGCCCCTTGGCGGCGACCGGCTCTTGGATAGCACATCAGGTATGCAATTTGTGTTCGATTATACATCGCACATTCGTTGCCCTCTGTCTATCAATATCTTTCATCAATCCTATCCAATGGGTTACTGCTACATGTAACAATCTCAAGTTCTCAAGATGGATACTGCGGATCTACAGGGGTAAGTGGTAAGTGCTGGAATGTGGCAGCTGGGCATGTTCATTTGTGATCAATGTGACTCGGAATTTGATCAATGAAATCCTTCTACCATTAAGCGTCTTGTTCGCCAACAGCCAGATCCACTGGTCCACCGACTTGAGAGACTAGCTGATGATGTCGGCCAAAGCTACTCCTTAGCAAATCAACTGACAGCTGGCCCCATCTATCTAGTTGCGACTGCGTGCCTTACATGGGTAGTGCACGTTAATGATCCCGTTGCTGCGCCCGGTGACTCCTGTCATCACCCAGATGGTGGGCATCCATCCCTATGCGAGGGGCTCTAAGAATTGAAGCAACCATTTGATCAATAGACCAGCACAGCGGCTGCTCGAGATCAAGACCAGGAAATAATGAATGATCGATTCTGACGTGGGAAATGTGTCTGCATGCGACAGTGTTGATCAACCGTCAGTCGACCGATTGGAGACCCTGAAAGGCCCCTGTACGCCTCCATCTATCACTCTCTGAGTTTCAGGATTCTGCGAGTAAGAGTGCAAGAGACTTGTTCTCTCTGGCTGCGAACCCTCGATACGTAGGTACCCCTTTTCTGGGACCAATACTTACTCAGGACGAGCCATCCACAGGCTGCGGTAGCCAGCATTGAGTTTGCCGGCCAATTCACTAAAACCATTTAGACTGGTCATTAGCGTTGATACTGAATCTTATCAAGGTCTGGGGATTTATCGATCACTTTTTGCTGTGTGATGCCCCACATCTGCAGTTGATCAGTCGAATCCAACTTCCTCTCAGCTTAGCTGTGAGTCCTGTGAGCTGTTCTGTTTAATCCTCAACGCTGTGTGACTGTGGAGGGTTGCTTTCTTTGAAAACTTGAAATCGCCGGTTTGTCTCCAACTGCGCATATGAAGTCGTTTGGGAGATTGAAATGATCTCTGCATTTTTTTTCCCCCTCCCTTCTGTGTGACTAATATACCACTCTTGGCTGTCTTTGCATGCAGGAAGTTGTTCTGATGCAAGAACCCCGGCAACAACACTACAAGTCTATGACTGTTTGAGAGCGTGGCTCTAAGAGACTTCTTCCCCTAGTCCTTACTCCTTAGTCCCTCCGCAAGTTCCTAGCGCGCTCATCCAGTCAAGTATCCATCGCACACACGTAACGAGTCAACGACATTCCTACTCGTTGACAGGTCACTTTTCCGCCTCCCGCCAGATTAAAGATAGCAGCAATCAATATCCTTTGTGTGACACTCCTAGCGAGCTCCCCCTCCATTTCCTTGCCCCCACCTTTCTTGAGAGGGGTTTAGGCAACGGACAGTCTCGCCGGTTAAGGTGAATGGCCTGTTCAGAAGGTATTGGAAGAGAGATATCTCCAAATCTCACGACACCGCCAGTCTATCACGGTGCAATAAAACCTTTCCAGCCCCTGAGACTATGACGGATCATTCAGGCATGATCAAGACTCAAGAGCCACAACTCTCCGGGCAGTTTACTTCGCCAATCATTACTATGTTTAGCACGGAGAAATCCACATGCTCTCCCACTAGTGACTCTACAAGACATTTAAGGAGTTTGTTTGTCAACCTGCTCTGCTGGCTCACAGATTCAACTGGGACAAACACTCTCGAATTCGTAGCTGTCAAATTCGAAAATGAATCAGTGTCATCAGTGATGAGGCGTCACCCTCTCGTGAAAGAAAAAAAAAAAAAAAGTAAAGAAGATAGATAAAGAGTCGAGATACATGCAGTCAATGCAGCTGATCGTCAATGAATGCCAGAATGGTCGATCATGTCATATGCACCCGAGCTGATTGCACATGCATGAGCATGAGCATTCCGACTGGGTTATCCAAAGTGTTCGTACTCCAGACAAACAACTTGCATTTCTTTTTCTCTGTCTCTCGCTTGACTTTCTGGATAAAGCATCGAACAAGGTAGAACCCTGCATGAAGCTTGTGTGACAGGTGCCGAGGACGGAGGACCCCATACGTGCGCATGTGCAATGGCGGGCCGGCCGCCGAGAAACTCGAATGGGACTAAATTGAGGGCTTTGCACTCATCTCTCTAAAACTATGACTAAACTTGTCCCAAGTCCCAAGTCCCAAGTCCCGACTCCAAACGAAGGCTACCGAGTCGATCGATTGCATATGGATATCCATCGCTACCACTCAAGACTCATAGTCTATTGATCCTGTGGATATAAAGCCAATCGGCGCTTTGGCGACTCAGGAGAGAACCTTGGTAATCCGGACCAACAGGACCGCACCGGCTTCTGCCCCAGAGCAATCATGAAGATGGATCAGTCGGTAGCCCTGCTGCAGCCGGCTGAGTTTGATACATGCCCAAGCGGCCAGGGAGTCTCGTCCGAGCTCGTCATCCTTGACTTTGAATCTGTGGTGTAGCGGTGTTAGTTCCCTAATGATTTGTAGACGGGGTATGGTCTTAGTTGATACGAGAGGGGATAGACGAAGATCTACTCCGTACGTACCTGACAAAGGTCAATTCCTCAATAACGCCCGACAAAGTCGGGAACTGGATCATCTGCGCGCCGAAGTCCGGATGCGTGCCTGTGGCGCTCTTGATGCGGCGCTTGTAGCTCGTCTTCTCCGAGTCGGTGGTGTTGTCGCCTCCCGGTGGAGAGCCGTTCTCCTCGTCTGGCGATTCCACGTGCAGGTAGCAGCTCACGTAGGGACGGAACCCGGACTCCTTGGTATCCCCCGGGGGCAAGGGGAGATTCTGGCCGGCGAGGACCTCGATGGAGAGATCGAGGTGTTGGCGCTTCACGGGGGTGGAGGCGGGGTCGGAGCCGCGGTAGCCCTGGGGCTTGAGGACCCAGCCGGGCTCGCCGGTGAACATGCCCCGGTTGAGCATCATGCCCTTGTCGAGGTTTTGCCAGTTCAGGGCGACGATCTGGGCGCCGCAGCGCCAGAAGAAGGTCGGGTCCGGGTTGGACGAGTTGACGCGCAGGCCGTAGGGGTAGACCCGCATGAAGAAGCGGCGGTTGTGCTCGAGGAGGGCGTCGCGGTCTTTGGCGTAGGCCTCCCGCGCGGCGTTCTCGGATAGGGAGAACACGTGTCCGGGTACTTTGGCCTCTGGATTCCTCGGGTCAGTACTCAGTATGGAGTACACGCGAGGGGAATGATACGGTAGTAGCCGACGTTGCATGCGGGTGTCTGTTGGTGCAAGGGGTGAGCTTACCTGGCTGGGTGAAGTGGTGGAAGGAGAAACCCTTGGTAAAAATCGCTAGCCTGCTTAGGGAGTGCAGGACCTTGGACGGTTTCTCGGGTGGTGAAGGTTGACCGTCCGCTGGATGTCCGTTCTGGTCGAGCGATGGAGGTGTGTCGAGCGGGTCGGTGTGGTCGTTCTTTTGCGCTTCCCCTTGGCCCTCGCCTGTCGCGGGGACCCATTTGACCTTGATGAGGATCTTGCGTTTCAAGGTCTCCAGAGGAGGCGGGGCGTGAGTAGCTTCAAGTTCAGGGGTCACTTCGATCAACATTCCTTTCCATGCCTCCTCCATAATTTCCACCATCGTCGCCTGCTGCTCGAGGCATGTGTGCACCTCCAAACTGACAATGACGGGCAGGTCACTTGCAACGAATGCACTGTCGCGAATCGCATAGCAGACATTGCGGAACGTGGTTCCTTTCGTCAGCGTGTGACCATGAAGCACCCGGGGCTCCGGACGGCGTAGGAATTTCGTTGTAGAGTCTAGAGTAGCAGCGGCGGCAGCGGTAGCAGTCGATGCAGGTTGATCACGAGCGCCGTCATGTGGCGATGATTTGCGTCCCAACAGGCTTCCCAATTTGGACGAGATGCCCTTGCGCCGCGATGTTGTCTTGGCTGGCCGTGTGCTACCAGCCGCCTTTGATACGTCCTGCTTCTTACGGTGAATGGTCTTTTCTCCTTCATCAGAGCTCGACTCGCTACTACTGCTGCTACTGCTGGTGTCACCAGAGACGCTGTCAGTGTCCGCATCCCCGTCCCAAACGTCGATTTCAACACATCTACAACCACTCAAGAGGGCCTATAGAATGTCAGAGGAGCTGAGAGACCAATGTTCAGGCAGATCCGAGTGAGGGGGGAAGTATTCAACAATGCATATCACACCAGTGTCGCATGGAGAAACTTTCCCTCAAGGGCCGATAATTCAACAAGGAATGGGGGGTGAGACATACGTTGGTATATGCGGCCGCTGCAGCATCACTGTACAGCTGATTCCCCGTCAAATAGGTGTTGTGACTGGATGAGATGTAATAATCTGTTATCGGTGCCGACAAATCCTGACCTTTGGACGGACGCAATGCATCAGACGCCGGGCTGGCCATATACGCACGGAATGCTGCCAAGGACGCGAGGGGATTTGCGGCCTCGAGGCCACCGGCAATCTCTTCGTGTTGCACATCCTTGACAAAATCGGCGGTCGCCGCGGCAGTCAAGGATGCATAGATCTTGTCCAGATAGGAGGACAAAGGGCCGGACAGGACTTGGTTTGGTCCTGAGCGAGCGGCTTTTGCTGACTCGAGAGAAATGCTACCAGCACGACCAGTGAGCTCGTTCAGCGTCTCCATCCTCGTGGATGTTCTTATTGGACTTGACGAAGCAGCTCCGTGAAATCAGGCCAAGTGTGTGGATTTGACCGCTGCTGACCTTGCGTTGCCGGGATGATTGCCTGGTGATCAATGCGCGCTGGATGGTAATGTGATACAGCAGCTGAAAAGGACAGTCCGCAGACAGTTCGAGTCGGCTACAGCGAGTTCAGGACGCAGGGGATGCTCTTCGAAGGAGGGTAGCAATAATCGCAAAGAAGCAAAAGTTCGAATTCCCAACGTCGAAAAAGAAAGACGGGAAGATGGCGCTGAGTTGGCCCGTTTCGTTTCGACGTTGTCTGATGCTCCACTCGGCGTGACTTGTCTGTGTGGTTTAATGCACCGCAGCCACAGTACGATTGACTGGATGGACCATGTCTGTCCATTATGATGATGAGCAACTTTCAGGCCTTGAAATAGTCTTGGAAAAGATACAAAGTGAGATGGTGAGTTGCAGATACCGACCGAGAATGTGTTGATGTTTATCGACGACGCGGGGTAATATTGCAGAGACCGATAAGCGTCGACGATCACTACGGCTTGTTTCTTTCTCCTAGTTGAATCTTGATTGAGTCTTCTATCTAAGGACGATCAGATGTTGGACTACTTGTCATCCATACCATGCCTTTGCTAGCATCCACAATATGAAGCTGTCATATGATCATCCGTGTCCAGTCGAAGTGGGGAGCAGCGGTGAGCGCAAGAGAGCTCTCTGTTTCTCTGTCGTGCGCCAGTGGAGATTAATCAGTGATTATGACAGAGAATATACACTCCCGAGGACACTGTTGAGGACACTGTTGACGCTTGAACGTATCTGAGGTTGCAGTATACCATCAGCAGCCCTGAGATTCGACGTGCACACTCTTCTTCCACCGTCAACAGCGCCCGCTGATGAAGAGATTCTTAGTGCAGCATCAGGCAATAATCCTTTTGCATTTTGAGAATGGCTAAAAGAATGAGCATCTAAAGAATTGTCTAATATCTGGACACGGAGAAGTATGCTACATTAGTAGTCTCAAAAACCTCAATTCCACCCACGGTAGCGTTGCCTATCGACCGTATTCTTGGAGACTGACCTTGTCATTCGCGTGGTTAACCAAAACATAAGCACTGGAAACTACACTGTACCTTGGGTACCGTTATTCTAACTACCAAGGATAAGAGACCCGACTGCTGATAAATCACTTGCCCCGCTTTTGCTGTCTCCAACGGTCCTGGAACTACGACGAAGCATCTCAAGCTCGCAAATAACTTCTTCCAGCAAAGTGAAGGTAAGGTCGATCGCATTATAGCAATGGCAAGTGATGCACCAGTCCATCTCTTCGACATCACGTCGACCCTGCCTGGTACGAACTGTTTCTCCCTCTCTTGTCCACCCCTTCTAACCCAATCTACCAGGTTCCTCAAAATCATGGTCCCCCAACACCCTCAAGACCCGAATGGTCCTGAACTACAAGCGTATTCCCTACACTCAGAGCTGGGTCTCCTACCCTGACATCGCGTCTCTCCTGTCCTCCCTCGCCGTACCCGCCAGCCCAGGACGAACCCCTTACACCCTCCCCGCAATCTGCCACAAGCGCACCGTCAAGTCCAACCCCACCGGCACCCTCATGGACTCCTTCGCCATCGCCTGCCACCTCGACCAGCACTATCCCACCCCGTCGCTCTTCCCCTCCGGCGACGCAAGCTACGCCCTCACAATCGCAGTCAGCAAGCTCACCGGCAACGTGGCCGCGAAGGCGCGCCCGCTCATCATCCCCAACGTCGCCAAGTTCCTCGATCCCAAGGGCAGAGAGTACTTCATCAAGACCCGGTCCGCGTCGTTCGGCATGCCGCTTTCCGAGGTGCGGCCTAAGGATCCCCAGCGGCTGAAGGAGGCTACGGATGAGATCAAGAAGGAGATGGAGGTGCTGGCGCAGATGCTCCGGGGCAGGTTGGGGAAGAAGGGGCCCTTCTTCGAAGGGGATAGGGCTGGGTATGCGGATTTCATCGTGGTTTCGTTCCTGGCGTGGTGTGAGAGGGCCGATAATGAGCTGTGGCGGGCGCTGCTGCATGTCGGTGAAGGGGAGATGAAGGCCTTGTGGGAGGCCTGTTTGCCGTGGGTTGAGGGACAGGGCGAGGAGAAGGACTGGCCGATTGCCCAGTAGAGGATGGTCTCGAGCTTTATAACTGTATATAGCGGAGCAAGCATATTGATCGACAGCCGGGGTCGATATTGATATACCCATGAGCGTTCAGGAGCAGAATCTAGTGCAAAGCTTGCAAGAGCCCTAACACGGGATGGAAAACAATGAGATAAAATACACTAGACCGTTGCCAGACACTCTATACCATCAGCAGCAACGCAATCGTACACAGGTAGATAGCTTCTCAAAACACCATGCCATGAAATAAACCGACTTGCCCTCGGCAACCCAGCCTCGAAACCAATCACAGACCACGCAGGAAGTTCGCCTCTCGGATAGCCTTCCTCCGAGCATCTCTCGCGCTCTTTGTGATCTCCGTCCGTTTCTCAATGCTCTCAGCCGCCAACGCGACAAGGTCTTCAGACGCCCCCTCGAGATTATACTGCGCAGGTGTGATATCGGTAGCGTGATGGTGGACCGGAATCTGAGGGGGAAGCGTCGCAGCACGAGCAGCCATTTTCTTCTCGTAGCGTTTGCGCTGCTTCTTGTTCAGAGCTGGGGGGACAGCATTAGCACGAACCTCACCACAAACCAAAGCAAAGAAAAAGAACATACTGCTCGGATCCACCCCGCCCTCCTTCTTCGCCTTCGAACTATCATCCAACAACTCCCACAACCAATCGGGATACTCCGAGTCCTCCAAGGCAAAAACATCCGGTTTGTTCTTGAAGTAGTTGAGACCGTTCAGCTTCGTGCCCGCAGGCGCAATGCTAGGCGTCCGCTCGGCGGCCGGCTTCACGGGCTTCTCGGGGTTGACGTCCACGTGGACGCCTTCGGGAGTACTCAGAGGCTGCGACACGCCCGGTGTAGCGGACGAGATGGCCGAGGGGATCGTGATGTCGCCGCCGACGGGCTGCCGGGGGACGGGCGGAGGAGGTGTGGCCGATACTGTGGGTGTGCCGTCACTGTAGTTCCGGAATTGGCTGCGCTGGATGGGAAGCTGGCGTGCACATGATGATGCTGACCATGAAACTGTGGGTTGCGGTTGGAGCTGGGAGAGGATGCTGGTCCGGCAGCGGCGGCAGATCATCTTGCTTCGGTCTTTCGATACTTGGGAGGAGACGGTACAAATAGTCCGTTGTCACGGCCTAGTGAGATGCCGTGTATTTAAATAATGCTCCTATCGGGGACCTGGATGTGTATATGAAGCCAATATCTGAAATCTGCGGAATGAATTTGATGCCAAGCCGGAGGTGGTAGTCACGTGATGAGGTGCATAGATGAGCCATTAGTACTCCGAACTGATTCTGGTGGTATCTGGCTTCGCAGAGAGCCAGCACCCAGATATTGTTAAGCAATAAACTGTGGTGCTTAAAAGGCTGCACAACTATGTCTCCCTATTCATTTCAAGAACTAAATAATAAGCAACTTCAACTTCTGAAAATACATGGCACATGTGTACTGTTACACTGTATGAAATTCCAATAGTTTTATGCTCAGTCAACTTGATCGTTCTCCGTTTGCTGGCGTGCGCAGTCTAGGTATTGACTATTGAGCATCCATTATTCTTCCAGAGCGTGCCCTGACAATACTGGCAACAATGTATCAAAGTCTCCTGAAGGCTGTCCAAATGTTTGGATCTCCTTGTTGTATCTCAGAGGATTCAAGCGAATCAGAGCATAGAGTAGCGTTTTGTACACTGGAAGCTGGTGTCCGTCTGCCTCTTCTCTGTCAGAAGCCCCTTGGCGTCGAGGGCATCGGATACTGCTGCAAAGAGATGAACACTGGATAATTGAGAGTTGACTTTCGTAAACGACAATTTATTCTCAAGCTTATCTTCAGCCTGGCGGAAGCCTTGAACAATCTTTGCCTTTGCTTCCGTCCTGTAGGCCCATGCGTTTGGTTGGCTCCTTCCTAACCAACCCCCCATTCATCGCGAAACAAAGACATTTCACTTCATGACTCTCGTATGGAAGACGCTGCACGTTTGGAGTGCCGTATCATTGAGTCAGAGTTCGGCAATACAAATGTATCACCTTGCTCGAATACATCTGACCATCGATCCCTACCTCTCAGGATGCACAATAATTGATGGTTTCAGCTTGCACTGTGATCTCCGCACTTGGATAGCAATCACTAGAGCAACCTCATACCAGATCGATGAGAATCTCTCCTGAGAGTCTTTCATGCTACTGGCGGCACGTTCCAATGTGGAGGCCTAATGTGTCCAGTTGCACGGCGAATGGTTGAGAGCCCACTCGATAGAGCTCCCCGCAGCAACCAACCCGCAGGGCAAAGGTCATAGATCTTTGCATCCTTTGAGGCTTCCACTAAGGGTCCAGAACCATGTCGGCTCGCCTCGCATGGCCATTCCAGAATTACTGGCGCCAAGACCAAGTTTCGCTGACCTCTGAGCAAGTGAAGACTATGTCCACCAGGTTTGACTCGCTGATGTCTGAGCGATGGCTTGCCTGAGGCAAGTGACACTGGCGAAGCCACCTTCGTTATCGCCAGCCTCCATTTCTGATTTGCTCGTATCGCGGCTTTGCTCCTATGTTCAGCTTTGATATCCACACATTGCCGAATGTGGCTTTGGAGTGAGTCCTGGCTGAGTGGTCGTGTTTCACGAAGCCTTCAACATTTCAAAGGGCAAACAATCTCGTCTTCTGGACCTTGAATATAATAACTCTGATCTTGGACAGATAAAAGTCCGGCCAACCTTGACTCCTTGAGAATGATTGTTGCGCGAGGTCATGAAAGCATGACTAAGCGCTGATCACTTGATCCCCTGACGTTGACCCCTCCCCTTGACCCTTGAGCACAACCATGATAGGCGAGCAAGTATGCTTGATCAGTTCCAAGACTTCTTCCATCAGCTTTCATCTAACTGGAGTTTCTCAATAATGCCATCATCCAATAGTCATTTGAATTCAAGGAAAGCTACAGAGTGCACGTGGAGTTTCGATCATTCTCTCAACCGAGCGACAAAACAGACAAATGTCCAAAATCTCTCGTCAATGACATATTAACACAAGGCCGAAACTGTGGCAACACAAATGGATGAGTATAGTCCAACCAGGCCGCGCTCAACATTATGACCTGAAGAATGCTTTTCTATGATGCAAAGCCATGCAAGCAACAAGATGGGCAGGTTTTCAAAGCCGCCAATTATTCGAAAATGAGGACAGGGAAGATGATTGAGGATATAGAAAGAAAGTCCACCAACGCCATACCATAAAAAATGACATGCAACGACCATTAACCTCAAGTAGACAGCCCACTGACTTCCAGGAAATTGCACAAGCTCACACAAGCATCCTTGAGTGACTTTTCTGTCTTCCAATTGAGCTCTTCCCGTGACCTTGTGGCGACGGCGACACAGGAGCCAACATCCCCTGCGCGGCGATCAGCCGCTCTTCTGGGGATGTGCTTGGAGGAGACATCCTCCATGGTCTCGACCACTTCCTTGACAGAGTGTCCGCGACCGGTTCCCAAGTTGAACGTGCGGAAGTTCTCGGCCAATTTGCCTTCGTTGGCAGTATTGAGGGCCGCGATGTGACCACGAGCAAGGTCGGTGACGTGAATGAAGTCACGGACCGCTGTACCATCCTCGGTGTCCCAGTCAGTTCCGAACATCTGCAACTCCTCGTACTCGCCTGTCATGACCTTGACGACGACTGGGAGTAGATTTGTGGGAGTCTGTCTGGGGTCTTCTCCAAGGAGGCCGGACTCGTCACATCCGATGGGGTTGAAGTACCGCAGAGCCACAATCGTCCATTCTGGGTCGGAGGCCGCGAGATCAGCCAGGATGGCCTCGCAAATCCATTTGGTACGTCCGTAAGGATTGGTGATGCCCGTGCAGCCGGGCTGGACAGCCCGTTCCGCACCCTCGTGGTCCCTATAGACTTCCTCCTTGTGAGTGCAAAGCTCCTCCTTCAAGGGGAGACCGGAGGTTGCCAAGGTGCCGTACACGGTGGCCGACGAGGAGAAAATAAAGGTTTTGATGCCATAGTCACCCAGGGTCGTGGCAAAGTCGATGAGGCCACTGACGTTGTTGGCATAGTACTTGAGTGGGTTCCTGATGCTCTCTTCCACTGCTTTGTAGGCAGCGAAGTGGATGACACCGGAGATTTTAGACTTGGTCGTACCCCATCGGGTCTGAGTCTGGTGCTGTTCTAGAAGGTCCCGGAGGGCAGCAGTGTCACGATAGTCGTGCGCATGCAGGTGCAGCGAAGGCATCTTGGTTCCCTGATGCTCATGGTACCTGGACGCTAGCAGTCTGATGCGGTCGAAGACGTTCTGGAAGGAGTTGCTGAGGTTGTCGATCACGATCACATTATAATTGGCCTTGAGAAGTTCCAATGTTGTGTGACTTCCAATGAAGCCGAGGCCTCCCGTGACAAGGATGTACTGGTCGAGAGGGAAGTGGCGCAGAAGATCTTCAAGATGACCATCAAACAACACGGACGACTGCGTTGCGGGCGTGTCCACGCAGCTTGGGGAGCAAGGCTCCACTGGAGTGCTTGCGTCGGATGGCTGGTGGCTGTCCATTGATGCTGTTGATCACCAAGCTGAAGATGACGCCGAGATTGGGAATGATATGCTAAGCAAATAGGAGATTTTTGGACAAGGCTGACCGCACTTTGGAAGGAAAACGAGGGAGCTTGTTCGGATGTGCTTGTGTCTTCAACGAACGTGGATGAACCCGAACAGATCGAAGAAACGAAGGAAGAGTTTTATACTTCGAGGGCAAAACAAGCACCACCTGGCAGCGGCTCGCAAAGTTATGGCCGCCCTATTCAGCTGGGTCAGGCAAAGAGGGTACGATGACTTGCTTGATCTACACCGGAGAATAACTATAGAAGCGATTGGATGCAAATGAGAACCAGATGGACCTGATCTCGTCAGAACAGGGGTACAAAAAGGCAAAAAGGAAAAATCACTAAAGGGGAAACAAGAATGAAGAAATCGGCCTTAGCCTCTGGAAAAGCAAAGGCAAGGATGAAAAGAAAAAAATGAACAGGAAAAAAAGAGCGGGCAGCCTTGTTCACGGAGAAAGGCCTAGATGTTTGATGCTTCTTTGCCTCCCTCTGGAACAATGACAGAATCATCGAACGAGCCTTGAGCGCCTCCAAAGGTACTACTCCGTGGTCAGGATCTTTGGGACCAGAACTTGGACCACATGAGGTCAGGAAGAAAGACAACTTGTTCTGCGAACTTTAGCCTAACTACTAGTCTGCGGTCCTGGGACTGGGAGGGTCTGCTGCATGGCATGGTCGAGATCCGCCCCGCTCGCTCTATTTCGGGCGCGATTGTGTTCGATGCCCGGACCATATTATTAGTTTTATGCCTATGAATTATGATCTAACTGACCACGGTTTTATATTTCTTGACTCTGATGCGACCAATCTCACTCCGAAACAGTGAACCACTGGAACTCGGGAAGAATTTCTTGCGTGATTTGTCTAGGGCTGACTTGGACTACTTATTTCTTAGTCTTCCGGCGCCATGTCCGGCATACTTTGACGATGGTCTGAGAGAAATCCACTTGATGCGTTTCTCCTGGTCCTACTGTGACGCTCGCGTCGATTAGTGTCTTTTGCCTTTATTTTTGACTCCTTTTTCTTTTTTTCTTTTTTTTTTTGAATTATTTTTTTACAATGCTTGAAAAACACGTGAGCAATAGACGCTGTTTGCAAAGCCGGCGCTCTCGAATCACTCTAGCCGTCCTTGTCTTTATCGCTGTTCTGGCTGCTGTGATCCCTCCGGCGGTTGTGGTGACACTACACAAGAAGAACGATATGGGCCCCAAATCGAAGGTCTTTGTGCCTCTCTATGTGTACCCTGCACCCGGAGCCTGGACTCCGCTTGAAGATGTGTATGTTGTTCCCACGTTTCCAACACCCTGCCCCGACCTGATCCATCATCCCACTATTGAACCACTCCATCTGGCCGGTTGAATTGCCCCAACCAACGAGGGGCCGTCTGGAAAGTTCTACTGCAAACCCAGCGCAGCTAAACGCCACAGGATCTCCAAACACCCAAACGTCAACTTCACGGTTGTGATCAATCCTGGGAGCGGACCGGGACCAGACGCTTTGCCTGATGCCAACTATACATGCGAGATCCCGAAGCTCGCCTCCTACGAGAATGTGCGGCTTTTAGGCTATGTGGCGACGACTTATGCGAAGCGCAACATCTCGCTGGTGCGCCAGGACATCGAGACCTATGCGGCGTGGCCCACCAACAGTTCCAACCCCGATCTAGCTGTTCGGGGGATCTTTTTCGACGAGACCCCCCAACAGTACGATGAGGAAGCCTTGGCATACCTGCAAGAGCTTACCGATGTGGTGAAAAAATCGCCTGGTTTTGGTCCAGATCATTATGTATGTTTTTTCTGCTTTTTTTCCCTGGTAATTACAGGTCATATGGTTACCATGCGTATGGGGGTATTGTATTTTTCCTTTTTTTTCCCTCCTCGCTTACCACCTTCCTTTTGCCATCGTATTGATCGCCTTTTTGAGTTCGTCTGCAAAGTATTTGCTTTTTTCCAGTCAACCTGTCCAGTGTTATTGTCATGCTCCGTGCTATGCTAATTGCTGCGCTGGCAGGTTGTCCACAATCCCGGGGCGATACCGGATTCGCGCTACCTGTCGACAGCCGATTCGACAGTGGTGTTTGAAGCGACCTATGACACTTTTCAGGAACGCCATGGGGCCAACTTGTTCGCGGTGATCCCGGAGAGCAACCGCAGCCAGCTGTGTGCGGTGATCCACTCGGTGCCGGAGAGCGTCGAAGGGACCGCGCTCCGTGGACTGGTCAAGCAGGTTCGCAAGGTTGCAGAAGAGATTTTCATCACGCACTTGAGCAGCAACTACTACGCCAGTTTTGGGGGGCAGTGGAATGAGTTTGTGGATTTGATGGCGAAATGAGGCGATACTACCCTACTGCAGATGAATATGATAGATCGTTTGTTGTCTTGGAATTGTTAGTTTGGTTAGTAGACTGGTACATGAAAGCATGCGGCTGTAACAGTATTATCAATGTAATTTGAAGATAAGTATCTTACAAAGGTTACAATGTAATACCGCAACCATGACAGTTAACATGACAGAGTATATATACAAAAAGTCAAGATAGCACGCATCTCCCCGCAATCCAATACCGATCAAGTAACTTAACTTCAAAAAATCACTTCTCATTCTCTGGAGCAGACTCCGTTTCAACTCGGTAGAGAGGCAAGACCACTGAGGTAGTGACATAGATCTGAGGTATTTGATTCAGTTTTGCGTATGGAGATTACCCACTGTCCATGTCCATGTCCATGTCCACTGTACTCCGTACCTAACAACGGAGTACAAAGGCACAAGGCACAATGGACTACTGCGTCTGATGCAGGGGTACTATGCATAACCCCCGCTACGCTAAGCTAAAACCTAGACAATCAGTGGACGGGGAACAACTGGACATTGCTTGGCGGGGGTTCACCACTGCCTTGGCCATGGCCATGGGTATGGGTGTATGAATGATTCCAATGTGGAAGGTAGATAATCGAGATGTTGGGATTGGACTAAGACATACTCCGTACATTGATGCTGATGCTGATGCTAGTGTGTTGTCATCACGCCATGGATGGAGGATATTTATAGAAGATTAAGTTAGGTTGTCAAACAGTGGGAGTTTGCAGTTTGCAAGAAGTGAACTTTGAGATGGATATGGTTGATGTATCTGAAACTGAGCCAGGTTCAAAACAGAGTGCAACTCAACTTACCTCGTACTATTGACTACCACCTTGGATTTGGAATAGCAACCAGCATATACAGTAGTTACAGATCTAACCAGGAGTACGGAGTAGGAGTCGTCTACCGCGGCTCGTTTCAATGAGGTTACGAGGTGAGGTCAAGTGGCCCGCTTCTCTTCCGTGTCGGCCCTGACTGCCTATTCAAGTAGACTAGACTAGTATACAGAGACTCTGTCTGTATGAAGTTATTGATTTGAGTGCGGGTACGAAGGTACCTATTCCAAGGATGAACGAATGAATGAATGGGTCCAGTCAGGAACAGAACCAGAACCAGAACCAGAGCAGAACCACTTTCTGGCGCCGGATGACAAACTCTATCTCTCTGCATTACGATTTACGGACGTCGGTTGTTTATCTAGGAGGTCCATGGATCGACTGCGCTAGAGTTGATTTTCCATCTGGTGAAACTGATCGAGGTCTCCGTACTGTAGACTTTGGCTCTGCTCAAGTTGATGATGGAAACGAGTACTCCGTACTACAGAGTAGAATCAATGTACCTGTACGTGAGACATAAACTAGAATAATAAACTTTACCTGGGACTGTTGATGTACGGAGTAGATACGAATAGACTGAAGAAGACGCGATCGGCGGTTGGATCACGATCAGATCCACTGACACTAGAGAAAATTTCAACCAGCCTAGTGTTTCAATCTCGAACCATGACAGTCCAGAATCCATACCAGAGGCTAGGCTATTCGTGTGTTCTGATGTTCTCCGCTGGTTCATGCGATGGACGGCGGCTACGCATTACTTAGTAGTTGGTAGTGCTACAGTAGAGCGCTAATAGATTGCACTGTTTGTGGTTGAGGCCTGAGGTGACTTGCAGGAGCTTGGATCTCTGCCTGTATTTTTATGATCGTCGTCGATGTATGAGACTGAGACTGAGACATCTGGTGATGCAGATATAATTAGTATACTGAAGGAATCAAGGTTAGTGTCAAATAAGTCATAGATGATAGGCGATATGAAACATAACTCCGGCGCCCTTGCTATCAGACAGATTAACGCTAACATGTCTCAATCCAATTGTCCAGATCCATATTCTTAATCACGGTGGAAAAGTTGGCCGACCCGGCAAACTCACAGGCCGCGGTCTTCTGCTTCGCCGTGACGGCGAGGTCATTGTTGGTATCGTCCCCCTTGGGATACTCGATGTGAAACACGGGCTTGCCGTTCTGCGGAAACACGGCGTAGGTGTCACACTCGCCGTACTGCGCACACTGCTCGTTGACACTCCACTGCATGTTCTTGATCACCGACGGGATGATGGCCCCCGCGTTCTTCAGCCCGACCGACATGTTGCGCGCATGCGCCGCGTTCGCCAGGAAGTTCACAAACCGGATCGAGTCCTCCTGCGTCAGGTCCAGCCCGTTGTCGTTGTCGTACCCGTCCACATTGTCCGGGTCCACCCCGTCGCACCCCTTGTCCCGAGCGAGATCCAGCCGGTCCAGCATGATCTGCCGCACGCTCGCCGAGCTGATGTTCAGCCATTTCTCCCCCGGCCAGCCGTCCAGCCCGTTGCCCAGATCCGCCGCCTGGAACTTGTCCTTGTCCGGCCGCCAGTTCTCGTAGCTGCCCGCGGAGAAGTAGCAGATCACCTTGCGGCCGGCCTGCTGCAGCGCCGCGATTGTGGACTGGTTGTTGTTGAACATGTCGATGTCGTACACCGTTGCGTTGACCGACGTGTCGTTCAGCGGGTACAGCAGCTCGATCTGCCACGTCGTGCCCACCGCCGGCTGCCATTTGGCCGTCGTGTAGTTGCCTTCTTCGCCTCCTCCTGAGCCTGAGCCTGAGCCTGAGCCTGAGCCCTCTTCACCTCCCCCGCCGCCGCCCAGGCCGATGCCTAATCCGACACCGAGACCGACTCCCAGGGCGATCACAACGAGGAGGACGAGCGCGAGGACGAAGAGCTTCTTCTTGGTTGTCCATGATTTCCAGCCGCGGGCCGACTGGCCTTTTTCAAAGGGAGTCATCGTATGACTGTATATGAAGTCAGATTGAAGGAAATTGGCGAATCGAATATATGGCGGAATCCAGGCCCACGTACTTGAATCCTCAATCAAATATATTATTCACAGCATCAAAGAGTGAATGAGGAGAGAAGAGCGTAAGCGCTGAAGACTTGTCTAGACTGGACCCTACGGTTGGTGATATGAGTCCAGACTACAGACAAAGGGAATAATGCGGGAGCCTACGGAGCAGGACTAGTCCGAATGGGGCGATGGGCTGACAGTCGGAGGCTATTATTATTGTTCGAGGCTGAGCTATATACATATCATATTTTATCCATTCACATTCACCATGATTGACTGTAATTCAACCCTTTCATATATACTCCAATGAACTTCATAACCACTGCAGAAGTAGCAACTTCAAACCCTGCGATTGCCATTGCCATTGCCATTGCCATTGCCAACTGATCTGCATCTGCGTCTCAAAAGGTCTTAACTCAACTCAAGAGTCAGAGTCCAGAGAAAGCATGAAAAGTCAACCTGGAACCTGACCAATCATGCTTGACCAGACATCCCATTTCTGGGGCTTCTTAGCGCCGGACACTAAATCTTAGCGTGTTGGAGATCTTGTACCTGTCTGTATCATACATGTATGCAAATAGGTCATAATAATAACAATGAATCCAACATAAATACAAAGTACAATACACATAAATACAATACCTCGGTTCCAAGTCCCACCAAGTCTGACCCTAGCGAACTGACTGAGTCGCAACCACGGTTATCCATCTTAGTACTCCTGGATACAAGCTTGCCAGCTGCCACGTTGTTGACACTTACGGGAAGACTACAGAGTAGAGTATCTCCGGTGGATGTCTAGTCCAAGTAAAAGTAAATAGTTACACTGGCAGTGACAACTGCCTCTATCTATGATGTATCATGTATCCATGGCACACAAACTCAGACTCAGTCAAAGTCAAAGTCAAAGTCAATTGAAATGCACAAGCAGACCGCTGTTTGCTGTCACTCACACTTACTGAAGAGAAGACTTGTAAGTTGTAACCAGTCACATCCTGCCAGGTCATCTGCCCTGACAGAGTACGGAGGACAGATTCTGCAGGGGTTAGAGTTGGACTGTGGAGTGGACTGTGGACCTGAGAAGCAAACAATGTAAGACTTGCATGCGCTGGTCTGTACTCATAGTTTAGGCCAGTCATATTTGACTAGGTAGTTACTACTCTGTACTCATGATTTGAGGTAGAGCATTCAACAGCAAGCATGACAGCGCAGTTGCAGTTTGCTTGCAGATAGCTACTAGCTACTAGCTACTACGGAGAAGCCCGACCGTCTGCTACTGCATGATCTACTCTACTCATAGAGTGATATGCATACTACCATGTCTGTAGGATTGATGTGACCATGTCAGTGTCAGTTAATTTATCCTATGTATGGACCAGCTGACATGTCTAAGGTACAGTCTAGATACAGATACGGACATTTCAGCCGAGGCGCTGGGCCACTGCGAAGTAAGGGGTAGAAGGTAGATACGATTCCGGCCGAGAGTTCTCCGATCTATCACTAACCTAGTTCAAGCCACGCCACGGGCGAAAAGTAAAACCGTTGAGTTGAGTTGACAGAGTCAAAGTGGATAGAATAGAATTCGACTATTGAATACTGAGTTTGCGGCCGTGCCATGGCTGGACTATTGATAGCTAGGATATAGATTAATTACGACAGCTGTCCAAGTCATGTACTTTGGTGATGGTATGGGTGGTCTGATACGCAATCTTGCTTAGGGTTATTGTTGCTAACCGTGGACGTTAGAAATGATTCAGTTTCTCTTGGCCATTGGCCTGTCTACTTGACTCTTGGCATGATGCTATACGTGCTATGGTTGAGGATCGCAGAGGTAACTGTGGACATTGGACAACACTATGACTATCATTATCATGTATACTACTACAGAGCAATAGGAGTGGACAGGGTAAAGGTCACGGGAGATCCGGACAGCTGCACCCACACGGTCAGTGGGTCGCTTCCCAGCTGCTCGGTCGTAAAGCCCTGCGTGCTCGTGGGAGCCACAGGGAAGGTCACCGGAATGGGCCGGCTGCAGGTGTTGCCGTTGGCCGTCACCGTCACGGCGGTGATCTTCTTGCTGGCCACCGCATAGGACAGAGCGTAGCCACACTGGTCGCGCTCGTACCGCGCAAGGAAGTTGTCGGACATCTACATCGTCAGTGGCCATAGAAGCAAAGGATGAGGGGACATACCTCTTGATGGGTGAGAGTGACCAGAGGCCAGTCGACCAGGCGGACGAACTCCTGAACCTGCGTCTCCACCCACGCCTGGAAGATGGAGTACTTGGCCGTCACGCCGTTGACGGTAATCGGGGTCACGTCCGCATTGCGCAGATTGGCCTGGTGGAACATGTAGCCGTCGTGCCACAGCCCGAAGAGATGGCGCATCGTGTCGGCCTTCTCCACGGCCAACAGGTCGTCAAACGTCCCGCTGCCGGCGGACGTGTCGATCCACTCCTGCACCGTGCAGGCCGGGGTGTCGCAGTTGTAGTAGACGCGCGTGGCCCAGCGACCGTTGACCTGCATGCCCGCGAACCCGTCCGACTCGACGGTGGTGAAGTAGGGCCACATGCTGTTCTGCTGGTTCATCAGCACCGGGCGCGTGTTGTCGCCGACGCAGTTGCGGATGCCGTTGTCCCACCACGCCTGCAGGGCATCGCCGTTGTGCAGGCCCGTGATGGCCGGAGGAATGATCCCGTTCGAGGTGAAGTACTTGGCCTGGTCCAGGCTGACCTGCTTCAGCCAGGCCTGGTTGAAGGAAATCTCCTTGAAGATGTCCGCGTAGGTCGAGTTGTTCTGCTCCTCGTGCGTGAAGGTGTGCGAGATGTGGCCGTACGCGTCGCGGTTGGCGGGGGTCGCCCACCAGACCAGCAGGTCATCCAGCTGGGTGCAGGCGGCCGTCCAGTCGTAGACCGTGGGCTTCGCGGGCCAGAGGTCGGTCCCCGTGCCCAGGGGCTTCTTGAATTCCAGGGGAGTGTCGGGGGGCGAGTTGTACTCAATGCCGCCGCCGTTGCAAGCGTCATATCCAGCATCGGTGGAAGACGCCTGCTCAATGTTGCCGTTCCCGTTGTGGCCGATCTCGACAAAGTAGGAGCTGCCGGCGTTCATCTTCGCGCTGATGGTGGGCACCCACGCCGAGATGCCTTCCAGGTCAGCGACGGTGATCCGGAAGGTGGTTCCGTTGGGTTGGTAGATGTCGGTCTCGAGAAACATGTCGTCAATCTGGGTGTTCAGGTTGACCCGGCGGTGTCCCGCGTACAGACCGCGGGTGATCCAGGTGATCCAGGCGTGCTGCAGGTAGTTGGACGTGGCACTCCAGTCCGTGGCAAACCCGATGAAGAACGCCATCTGCTCGCGTCCATCAAAGTTGTTGATGACCGCAGCGGTGGTCTTGGTCGAGGTGACCGAGTTGGCCGCGAACTGGGCGATCTCCTTGGTGGAGGTCGTGTTGCTGATCGTGGCCGGGTAGTGCCAGAGACCCTCGGTGCTGACACCGGCGCCGGTCTTCAATCCCGCGGTAGGGAAGTCACTGGTGTCGGTGAACGAGATCAACTGTTCCACGCCGGTGGCGCAGCAACCGCCGCTCACTGCACTGGCGCCGAAGTTGGGGCCGGGGTAGACGTCCCACTGCACCATCCGCACGCCGTACTCGAGCTGGTAGGCGTACAGCTGGTTCCATTGGTCGGTGGTCAAGGCGCTCTGGTAGCCGGTCGTTCCTCCGTAGTCGTAGCTGACCTCGGCAGCCACGACGATCCCGCCGTAGTTGCCGACAGTGCTGGAGTTGAGATCCGGCAGGGTAACACCCGCCTGGGGGACCAGCAAAGTGGTGTACGGGATGCCGTATGCATTAAGACCGGAGGTAGCCGAACCGGCAGACGAAGAGTCCTTGGCGATCACAAGGATGTTCGACAAGACCGAGCCGTGACTGATGGGGCTGGCCGAGGGGGTGGCCGAGGCGATCACGCTAGAGCTGAGACTGAGAGACATGGTGGAGGATGAGGCAAGAGAAGAAGCAGAAGCCACAGGTGAAGTAACGAGTGTCGTGCCGGTGGAAGTCACCGGGGTGGAGGTTAACGAGAGTACAGCAGACGACGTGGTCACCCCAGTAGATGCTACACTACTGGTCGAGGCAGTGGTCCGCGATGGAGGCACAGATGTAACAACTGTCGGCTGCGAGGTCCAGACACCTGGGGGTGTACTGCATGTTATAAAGCCAAAGAAGCAGCCAGCCTGAATCACCCACGAGAAGACCATTGCGAAATGGCCAAGGGGAATGAGGATGACACGCTCAAAAAAGAAAAAGAAAAAAAGAAAATCACAACACAGAGGAAATGAACGAGTGACAGGGTGGAGATGACCCTCTGGAGGAGTGGACTGGAAGGATCGTCGACTGGAGGTCAGACGGGAGAGAAGGGACAGAGAGAGAGAGAGAGATCGAGTCAAGATGTGTACATGTCTGATGATCAATTGCATTTATGTAGGAACCATGCATGGGACGAGCACACACAATGGGCCAATGGCCTGGAAATCTCTTTTTTCCCTGTCTGATTGATCCGCTACAGGGCCATAGCTCCATCCATCATCATACTCCACAACAAGATCTTGGATGATGAAGCCGAAGGAAGGAGGAGTTAGGAGAATTATGATCGAATCCCCATCCACCATGTGGTCGACGAGCGTAGCCACAAAAGGTTAAGAGAACCGAGTCGACGAGTCTACCGCGACTGCCATTGATCCATCACGTCTAGTCTCTAAGGTTCCAGGGTCAAACAAAGCGAGGAATGGGCCGGATCCATTAGCGTCCTGGCTTCTGGCAACAGGATTGAAGAGGTTTTAGACTTAGCAAAGAATGAGCAATGGGTCCAGATGAGCCGCTGGGGAAATTGGAGGGCTGCAGTCTCTACTGAAGACTAAGAACTAGGGATTATTAATAGCATCACCAAGACACCAAGGAAGAATCGAGTCATGGAGCACTGCATTGCATGGTCTAGGACTGAGGTACATCTGCTACAGCGGTCTGTCAGGGCAAGGTACATTGGTATTACAAATACAGTAAGAGTATTGCAGAAATCTCATTTCAAAATACAGACCATACAGACCATACAGACAATACAGACAATACGGAGTACAGACAATACATCAAGCAGCAACCCCACTTGGACAACTTTAGGGTCTTGTCTTTGTTTCGCACTTTTTCTCTTTCTTCCTCCAACTGCATCTCCTGGATGTTCGGAATCCACCTCGGGCACGCCCCATCAAGACCACTTGGACGAAAAAGCAAAACCAAGGATCGAGCCAATGGGTCATTGCTACCAGAAACCCCGATCGTTTCCACACCGTGTTCTTCTACGGAGTAAACATGGCAGAGCGTCATCGTGGAGTGCTAAGGTACTGGTTCTCCTGGAACACTCGTCGCTTCGGCCTAGCATAGATGCAGTCTGCATGGTCCTGCTGTACATCCACCTGGCCAGGCTCGGAATAATTCCATCCAGGAGGGAGTGATCTCAACCGGACGACTCCGTAGACCAGAAGAACTTTACCGTGATGGCTGCCACGCTATTGACACCTCCCTATGGCCCCATGGGCCTTGGTTCTTGGCCCTTGGTGAGCTTCTGCTCCTTCTCGGATCCAACCAGATTGGAGGATTCGAACACTCTGAACCAGAGTGCATCCCAGTACGGAGTAATCCTTAGTCTTTTCCTAGTAAGGCTGTTTCATCACATCGGGCCAGAGACCTCGCTTCTTAGCGCCATCTTAGCGCGGCCAACTGTGACTACGCAGGCACAGGCTATTTTTGTCTGCATTGACGGGCAGACGGACGGTCCATGAGACTATCCATTAGTCTCGTCTAGTCTCGAGAAATTCCTTTGATTTTGCCGAAAAACACAAGAGACGAGAAAAGTACAACCTTATGATCATCCCTCCACGCCACAGGATCCGAGCTACCAAAGTTGGGCGAACACCGCTGTCTCGCTTTTTGAAGGCAAAGTCGTAGAGGCTGGTAGATGCAGGGTTGATTCATCGCTTGCCAACTCTCTGACCTGGTGTTGGTTGATCCGTCCTATCGTTTCTTTTGCCGTCTCACTCGTTCGTTTATACTTCGTACCCTGGACGCTCGTTTATGCACGAATGCTCGCCATCGACTTCGCTCGACGTCGCTGACTCCGAGTCGATTGTGCAGTAACACGGTCATGATCTTCTAGAACGACTGTATTGCTTTTTGTTTACATCGTCAGGCTCACAGAGTCCTCTTGTCTCTCGCTTTTCTACCGTTCCCGTCCCTCGTTCCCATGTCCGTTCGTACTCCTACCGTTAATTTCTAATCGTATCATCATGGATTTTTCCAAGCATGATGGTAAGCCTCATCCCGTTGGATGGGATCATATGACGGATCATTGGTGGCAGTTTGTATGTATTCCATCTTCTGAGACGTCATGGCCTTGCTAACTTGGTGATTCAGGTCCTCGTCGGCTTGCTACTTGGTAGCGTAGTAATTGGGTGTTCGTACCTCTTCTTCGCAGGCCTCACTAGAGCCCTCAAATGGTACAAGGTGGGTATCCTCTTACCATCCTTTCCTGGGGACGTGGTTGACCATCCATACCTAGTCGCGAGCTCAATCAGAAGTTGTGCCCAAAGATGTCTCTGATAGGCTGGACAGACTATCAAGGCAGCAACTGACCTTGCCCAACGTCCAGTTGGCGAAGAAGCCCTTGTCGTTTGGCGTCTACTTGGGCTCTTTCGATTCCCCGCCAACCAAGGACCAGTGTCGGCTGTTGAGTCAGTGGGATCTGTTGATCGTTGATCCCTCGCAGTCTGGTGTTGTCGAGGCCATCTCGTTGGTCGAGAAGAAGCAGTTTTTGGGCAGAGTAGACCTAGGTTCCGGATCAGTCTCGACCTTGGCGGCCATCGACAAGATCGAGAGCGCATTGACTAGCAGATTCAATGGCGCCGCTTTTAGCGGCATTTTACTCGCCAACTGGGAAAGCAGCTTCAACTCATCCGCCATCAGGAGACTGGTGGAGACTATCCATGCCGTTGGCCTGCCCGTCTATCTGGAGACCGCCCCTCCAGACTTCCTCGCAGATCACAAGACTCTGCAAACCGACGCAATTTCCGGTCTGGTCATCCGCAATGCCTCCGTCATGCCCGCAGGCGACAAACGCGACTACTTCCAAATGATCAAGATGCAGCCGACCATCAAAGCGTTTGTTTCGGAAGCCTGCATGCGCGATTTCGTGGTCATGGCCTGGGAAACTGTCGACGATAACGCTCACTTGTCCAATGCGGTCATCCAGCGGTCTCTGCAGTGGTGCAACTTCTACAGCGCCATCACTTGGATCGGCCGACAAGCTGCCTTGCAGGATGCCTCTCTCAACGTCAAGATTCCCGAACCCTTGTCTGCCTTCAGTTGGTTGAAGGAAGCCGAGATCATGAAAGCTCACGACATCTGGCGCGCGAATCTGACCATCGAACAGGATGCCGTGGACAGAGACGCATGGAACACCCTGCTGTCCTACTTCCCCGCTCTGGAGGACGTACTCACATCGTCCGAAAGCAAGCCACAGCTCATGGACCACTCAACGATCTCGGTTCGTGATCCACCAGAATGGGTGGCGCAAGTCAAGTCGCAGGGCAGCCCGCTGTCGATCTCAATGGCAGGCGTGGAATACAAAGAGTTTGGCTGCTTCCCCTTGGGATCTGAAGCCACCACCATCGCTTTCGCCGAGGTCCTCAAGTCCCAACAGCGGCTCAAGTCTCTTGGATTGCTTCACCCGGTTCCGTCTGAAAAAATTCAGAAACTTGGCGCCCTCCTGCGGAAATTCCACGATAAATTCGCCGTGTCCCATTGGTCCGACTCGCCCAGTCTAGCCGCTACGATCAAAGAACTCGCCAATCTTGCATCCCATGACTCCTTGCGAATCCATCTGGGCCTCGATTCAGGACTGCGCAAGAGCGCTGATGTCCGCTTCTGGGCTGTCTACCAGACAGACTCGGACGGATTTGAAGTGTTTGCCTCGAAAAACGCTCAAGGGCTAGCAGGAACCGTGCTTCACACATTCTTGTCCGCGAGGGGATTCCCCCGTCATGTTTGCTTCGAAGCGGAAGCCGCTCTGGCAGAGTGGTCCAAGGACATGAACGAAGACACCGGACTGCCCCGCCGTCTCATCCAAGATGTTGATGCCTTGAGTCCCGAGGAGCGCTTGCTCTTGCTGCAACACCTTTCGCTGACCGATGCAAAGAGTGAACTTTCGGAAACCATCTGTAGGTACATCCGCAGGCAACTCATCGATGCACCGTCCCTTGCGCAGCTCAAGGAGCTCAACACCGTCTCGTATCTCGAGGGATCCCTTCCCTCAGAGGCCTTGGTCAAAACCCGCGTGGACTGGTACCGCGATCAGGGCTGCCGTTATCCTTCAACCTCGGCATGCCTTGCCTTGTTTCTGGAGACGGATGCTGTTTTCACTCGCATCCTCCGAGAACGCCGCGAGAGTGATCTGGCTCAAATCACGAACGCCCTGTGTCAGCTTGTCCAAAAAGACCAGATCGACGCCTATGCTGATATCATGACACTCTCCCTCTTCTGCGCAGCCAGGAGAGGTGCATTCGACGAGATCTACATGGAGGTCACCGATCGCAACCCCCTGTTCAACGACCAGTCCGATCAAGCTGCCGCGTTCGCCGAGTCATTTGCTCTCGGATCGCGCTGCGAAGCATACTTTGACATCTCACCCAGCGCGTTCGGCAGGTTGCTCTCCGATCGATTCAGAAGATACTACAAGGACCGAGAACTGCCGGACTGGATCAATGGCGCTCCGCAGATGGCTACGTCTTATGCTGGTGCGCAGATCGATGTCAACCCGGACGACAAGGTCAAACCGATGCGTGGGTACCAGCGCTTCACGTTCCTCAGTGTCTTCGCTGTTCCGGCCCTGATCGACATTCTCCTGCTCACCCTCTACGGCCGCGGCTTGTACCTCTCCACCGACATGGGAGATGACAACATGCAGAGTGCCTCCATCGCTCTGATGATCTCTCTGCTACTGTCAGGTGCGGTTGGCACCTGGATCGCATGCGGTGGATCCTACTACCTTATTTCAATGGCTTTTGCGGCGACCAACATGTTTGTCTTTATCAGACTCATCGCCGGATTCGCCTTCACGGTCGCGGTTGGACTGATTGGATTCATCGTCATTTCTGCCGTCAAAGGCCCAGGTCCCGGAATCGTCTTCTACCTCTACCTCGTCGCCTTGACTCTCTACTTTACTATATTTGCCTGCCTCGCCTGTTTCAGCTACCCAGGATCCAAGTTCCTCTCTGGACGCAAGGCAATCTTCGCGTGCATCCCAATCCTTTTCATCTCCCCAATCGTGACGAGGTGGAGTCATCACGATGTTGTCATCTACCTGATCGTGCTCTACATCTTCATCGGACTGCTGCTGCTCAGTTTGCGGTCTGTTGCCTCCAAATGGGTCACCTGGTACCAGAACATCCGAAGGACAGATGACACCGAGATCCGCAAATGGTATGTTTCTACCTATGGCAACAACGACGAAAAGTGCTTCGGCAGCCTGAGCGATCCGGCTGTGCTGAAACTTTCGAGGGAAGCTCTGTTTCGCGACGTGATGGCTGAAGTGTCCCGCGGAATCTTCTCCAAGCCGAAAAAGGATCAGCTGGTCCTGGAACTTGCCAGAGACTGGGAAGCGACTAACTTCCTCCTGAACTGGTACTGCCGGTATGCCGACGTGCCCAGGCCCATCCCTTTCAGCTCTGGCTGGAATATCCAGACCAAGGTCGGTCTCGATGTGCTCCGCAATTCGCAAAAGGGCCAGCGCTTGCACAACTCGTTTATGCATTGGCGCCAGTCAAGCCGCGAGATCGGCTGTGGTGTTCTCTACTTTGTCTTGGCTCTTCTCGACAAGTGGATCGAGCACCTTACCGGTGGCTCTACCGCTGGTTTTCTGCAAGTTTCCGATGCCGATACCCGCTATGCTGTTGGTTTCGGCCTGGCATATTACCTGATCGGCGCTGTCCTCATTGACACCAAGGCCCAGGAGCTCCATGATCTCATCGGGGGTCAGACCAGTCTGGCTGTGGGGACGTCGAAGGATATTCGCCCCTCGCAGAAGCGCGACGTGAGGTTCAAGAGGAAAGTGTATTGGAAGACGTTCTTCAGGTATCTCATGTGGCAGGTATGGAGTCTTGCCTTGTCAACTGCGTTGCTCTGGACGTTCAGGTCGTCAAGCGATGCCATGGCCATGTTCTGCGCCTATGTGCTCGCGTACACCGGCCTGCTGTGGTATCAATACACGAAGATTTTCTCCGGTCCGCATGCCCTCAAACCATTGCTTGCCGGTGTCGTCGTTGGTCTGCCCGTAGGTATCGCCCTCACAACCTGTGTGCCGGGCGGTTCAAAGTTCGGGCAAGTGATTGGCCTGGGAACTGCGACCTGGACTACGGCTATCCTCACCCTGCTCACTGCGAAAATGGGAATGCCAAAGAAGGTGGATTCGCCAGTCGACCTGGGTAAGACGTTCCACGCCTACACTACCCCGTGGGCGGATCCCGAATGGTCTCAGCAGGAACTGCAAACCTTCTTCGAGAGAATCTCCCTTGTGCCTTCGGACGCGCGACTGAAACTCGAGCCTGGTGTCCATCCTGGAATCGAAGTGAAAACTCTGCTGCTTTCGCGCAGAGAAGAACCGAGGATTGAGGAGGCTTTCCCCAAGGCCCAAGATCTTATCAACCTAGCTCTCGACGCTTGGGGTAAGGGGGAGATCTCGATTGAGCTCGTTCCCTTGGGCGCCCTTGGTCCCGGCATCCGCGCTTTGAGCTGCAGTACCACGGACCAGCTGAAATTGGCCATCGCTGTGGGACGCGGACTGGATCAGCGCATCGATGTCAGCAGTAACTGCCAAGTCATTGCTGAGACTCTCCTTCACGCAGTGTCCGAGTCAATGCTGCGGATGCCTCACGAGTACGCGGTGCTTGCCGAATCGCTCGTCACGGCGGGAGTGACCGAGACCATGGCACGGCAGCTTCGCGAAGAAGCCAACACGCCAGTCGTCGTGCGGTGGGCCAAGAAGGAGCTCCTCCGGCAGCTATGTCTGGGTTTCGAATGTGACACGCATTGGGAGAGACTGCCCAAGGCCATCCGTCAGGCTTTGCTGCATCGTTGTCTCGGCAAGCCTTCGCACTTCTCGGACCGCGACAGGCAGTGGCTTCAGGATCACCTTTGCCGCTTTGACACCGCTGACCTGGATGTCCACGTTGCCAGATGCAATCTGGGAGCCGCCACCGCCGTCAGCATTCTCGATTACGCCCACTACGGCACCGGCGAAGAGGCCTTGTTCAAGGATTCCGAGACGCCGCTGTTCATTCCCTACGTGCCGAACAAGCTGCCTGCTGCTCTAGCGTTCATCAAAGATCCCCTTCACAACTTCTGGTACTCGATTGCATCCGCCGTCAAATTCATCATCATTGCCTTGATCGCCGATCCGGAATTCCAGAGAGAGTTTGACTTTGTGATGAAATTCCGCTCTCCCATCATCCGGGTGCCGTGCGTGTTTCTACTCAACATGATCTGGTCGTACTCGAAGGTTGTGCAGGATATTGCCCTGTCATTCTTCCTCTTCCATGGTCGTGACAATGTCAAGCGTCTCTGGGACGAGACCAAGGGTATGACCATTAGCATCAAGAAGAGCAGGTTCATGGTCCAGGGACTCGATGGGACCTTTACTGCTTTCAAGCACGACGACGACGACGGAGGCTTCAAGGTCTACTACTACAGCGGCGAGCACAAGACCGAACCCGAGGGAACCAAGTCGCTCAAGTACGTCAGCACGTACTCCAAGGAGATGCTTCTTCACATTCGGCAAGAGTTTAAGGATGGAAAAGCAATCAACGAGTTCCATTATGACTACCGCGCCCCGACAAAGAAAAATTTCAAGTTGACCCGAGGGTCCGAAAGCAGGGTCCCAATGGGCCGGCGTTGCATCCGCGGCGACAACCATTTGCAGAGCGTTCAGTATAACCGCAAGGGTCTCATCGAGGCAGGCTCCTACATGAAAGATGGCAATCTGATCCGCTTCAAGTACCACTACCGGAAGAATCCCCGGTTCGGCGACGAACTGCTTCGAGCGGAGTTTGTCCTCTCGCACATTACCTGCACTGTCTCCTGGTGTGCTCCTCCCGTCCGGCATCCCGAGAAGGTTGAGCGGTGGATCCCTCACTCCAAGGTCACCGAGGCGACATTTGTCCAAGGTGCCGATGTCTACGAGGCTCGCTGGCTATACGACCACAAGTTCCACCCGACCATCTTCACCACTCTCAACGGACAGAAGATCCAGACGCCGCCGATGATCGAACATGACTTTCTCGGTGTCCTTGCGAAACCCAAGTACACCAGCTTTGTACATGACAATCCCCTCTTCTACTGCGACAGCCTCAGCTCCAACACCATCACCCGATTCCTTGGGCTCTCCACCAAGCGGTTCCCCGTCTCGACCTCGCGGGCCCGCTCTCTGGTGTGGAAGGCGTGGAAGGACCGTGTCGACTTTGATGGCATCATCGTCCGTTGGATGGATGAGCGACTGCTGCGGAGAGACAAGACGCTCGCGCCGTACTGGCGCAGCCGCGACCGTGGTGACCTCGCCTCGGCGAAAAAGTACCTGGATCTGCGCGCGGACACCGTCATGGCGAGTGCGGATCTCGACGACAACATTTCCAGCTGGACTCCCATGGCGATCAAAGTCAGTGATCTGTTGAACTTTGGTCCCGGTGGTGATGCTGTAGTCAACACTCGGTCCAAGGATTTCGGTTCCGACACGGAAAAGTCGCTGCATGTGATGGCTGCTGATACAGGCACCTGGCCGAACGAAGGAGGTGGTGTGTCTGCCTGTCGTCGTGATATGATCAACTCCCTCCGGACAATCAAGTGGCACATGATCTGCGAGTCGGCAAACGACTTTGGTATTCCCAAGCATCAGACTGAACAGAACGTGCTCTCGTTGAAGATGATCCCTCTGTGGGGGTTGGACTTCCTGACGCCGACACATGGTCTCTTCAAAAACAAGCTCGACTCGGAGGTGGAAAACGTCACGTCGGCCAACGACATGGATATCAAGATGAACTTCATTCCGATCCTGACGGCATTGGTCAAGGGTGCTCGCGCCATCGAACTATCCAAGGCCGACATCCATCAGGCCACCCGGGCGCTCGTCAACCTCAACACTTACTTCCAGGACTCGCGACACTGGACCCAGGTCTGGAATAGCGACATCGTCAAGGAGAGCTGGCGGGATCTCTGGCTCACCCAGGAGATGCCCAACACGGTCCCTTCGTCCCAGTGGTTCCATACGGAACTTCCGACCCTGGGAACACTGGACGTTGCGCTGGAACTTTGGTACCGCTACCTGTTCATCTTCTCGATTCCAATCCCCGAAAAGATCCCCAGTGTGTTCCAAGCTTCGCATCACAGTGTCAGTGCGTCTTATGGGGTCGTCTGCAAGATCAAGCGAAACTGTACCCTCCAGATCTGGGATCACGCGATCAGCTGGCGTGAAACCAACCTCTGCCTTTCGTCTGCCCTGTGCAAGCTCTCTCCCTTTGTTCGAAATGCCCTCCTCGGATTGATGCGAATCACCTCCGTCATTACGCTCCATCATGCGGACATCATCTCGCCTTGTGCCGATTTCTTCAATCCCGGATGGGAGGTGGAGATCGGTACCTGCCAGGGAACGATTGAGCATCGCAACATCTTCCGCCGCAAGGTTGATCCCGTGGTCAACGGTATCACGGACATGCAAAAGTTTGCCCCTGTGAAGGAGATCAAGTCGCAGCGCCCGACCGTCACCATGTTGTCGCACGTGTGGTACGCCAAAGACATCAAGACCGCGCTGCTTGCTGCCGACATCATCATCAACCAGTGGAAATTCGACGACTACCACCTGGACATTTACGGAGCGATCGACAAGGCGCCTACTTACTCCACCGAGTGTCAGGAGATTATCGCGTCCAAGGGTCTCCGTGGCCGGGTCACCCTGCGTGGTAGCGCGGACCCGATGAAAGTGCTCGAAAACACCTGGCTCTTCCTGAACTCGTCCCTGTCCGAGGGTCTGCCCCTGGCCCTGGGCGAGGCAGCTCTGACTGGCGCGCCAGTTGTCTGTACCGACGTCGGCGCCTCCCTCCGTGTGCTCAGCGACCCTGACGACTTCTCCCGCTTCAGCGCCGTCGTTGCACCCAACGACGCTCTCGCCCTGGCCAGGGCGCAGATCACCATGCTTGGCCTGCTCGGCGAATGGAGCCAGTACGCCGAGGACACCGAGCCAGCGCCCGTCCTCACCTCGTCTCCCACCCCCGAGGACGTCGCCAAGATCACCCGCCGCATGTACGAGAAGAGCGAGCACCGGCGCAAGCTCGGCATGATGACCCGCAACATCGTGCAGAAGTCGTTCAGCGGCGATCGATACCTCCGCGAGCACGAGCAGATGCTCTGGATCGGCAAGTCCGCAAAGACCATGGCCGGCCGCTACGCCGGCGCCGGCGCCCTCACCGAGCCCCTCGACATCGCCACCGCCCTGCAGCAGACCGAGCCCATCGAGGAGGAGGTCATCACCATCCCCCAGAGCGCCGTGCACTCCTGGCGCTCCTCCGCCGCCTCCGGCATGTCCACCCTCTACAGCACCGTCTCCGGCTACCCCATGCTGCCTCTCACCCGCCCGGCCTCCATCCGCTCCAGCTTCAGCAACTTCTCCACCGCCACCGACTCCGACTCCTTCATGCCTCTCCCGGGCAACGCCAGCCTCCCCGTCTTCGCCCCCCGCCAGACCCTCTCCTTCGACGCCGCTTCCGGCGCCGTCACCCCCACCGGCCGTCTCTCCCCCTCCGGCCGCCTCTCCCCGGCCATCAGCCGCCACCGCCACTCCCACGCCCGCTCCATCTCCACCCTGGGCCGGGAGCAGCTGCGCGGGCTCCAGCGCGAGGAGCCCCATCCGTACCGCAACTCGGACGTGAGCCTCGTCATGCGAGAGGAGTTCCTCCAATCCAGTATCTTCAAGTCTTTGGAAAACAGCAACAGCAACAAAGTCTGATCTCCTGTCACCACACCTTACCCCGCTCACCACATCTATACCCTCTGCATATATCATCACCAGTCTTGGACGGTTTCCATCTGATCATACAACGATGGACTGACTGTATATACATACATTGCTTAATTTCCTTCCCATGTTCCTGCATTGGCACCGCATAAGCACCATAATGTATAAAGGCCCGCATTCCCCTGAAAAGCGTTGTCTCTGGACATGTAACATTGCATTGCATTCATAGTTTGCATAGCGTGATTTGAATATACACTTCATTTGAGCATACACGCGCCGAACCGTACGGCTATGGTAAAGATTTGTATATACGCTAAAGGATACACGGCAGCGGCAGAGACCGCCTCACACGCTCCCACATCGACTTGTCCGGCACTGGGTTCGCTATCCGATGCCACTCGCCATTGAACGCGTTGACGAGCCAGCTCGAAAGACCTGGTCCGATTAGTATGTCACAAACACAATATCAGGAGAGAGTAGGTAGACGTACGCTCGTAGACCATGGTATGCGCGTTGTGGAAGTAGATGCTGTGATCCGAGTCCGGGTAGAACTGCAGATCGTAGTTCTCGACGTTCGACAGGTCCAGCTTGTCGATTAGGACGAGGGTATTCTGGAGATGGACGTTGTCGTCCGAGGCGCCGTGCATGACGAGGAAGCGGACGTTCTCGGACAGGGCGGCCATGTCGGTTATGGAGGAGTTGTCGTAGCCGTGGGGATTATGCTGCGGGGTGTGCATGTATCGTTCTGTGTAGATTGAGTCTGGAACAAGTTTGTTAGCGTGGGTGGTGCAAGAGTAAAGGAGGGGGCGGCTACCGTAGAACCGCCAGTCTGTGACGGGCGCAACGGCCATTCCGTACTGGAAGGTCTGGCCAGCGTCTTGTTCGAGGGTTTTCAGCGTCATGAACCCGCCGAAGCTCCATCCCCAGATCGCCATGCGGGTTTCGTCGACGTATGGCTTTGCCGCCCACATCTTCGCCGTGGCGATCTGGTCGCGAGCCTCGTAGAAGCCTAGGTTGCCGCGGACGATGCACCGGGCTTTGCGGCCGATGTAGCCTGTGCCGCGGCCGTCGACGGTCACTACGATGTAGCCCAGGCTGGAGGCGACGTAGGATTGGAAATCAACGGCGAATTTGCGATCCACGGTTTGCGAGCCGGGTCCGGCATACAGGTAAAACAGGACGGGGTATTTCTTGGCCGGGTTGAAGTGTGGGGGGCGGCGCTCGACGAGTTGCAGCGTGTAACCGTCGACTGTGACGTTTTGGTAGATTTCAGTCGGGAGGGCGTGTGTCTGTATCATGCTGGTGAGCTGTGGGTTCTCTTCGATGCGGTCTTCGTAGGTAATTGCGTCGCCTTGGGTGTTGATGATCGCCTGCCAGGGGACAGAGGGGCCTCTGTATGTGAGAAGTGCGTAGCCTGTGCCGTGCGAGAAGGAGACGTCATAGTAGCCTGGTTTGGAAGTGTCGGTCAAAGGCCTAAGATTCGATCCGTCCAGCTGCACACGGTAGACGTGGCGCTGGGTGGGTGCTTCCCTAGTGGCGACGAAGTAGACCAGGCCCCGTTGCAGATCTACGGCAGCCGGTGCGTCCACCACTTCCCACTCGCCCGATGTGAGCATCACAGCGTTGGGGCTGTCGAGTGGCGTGAAGTATGCAAGGTGGTCATATCCGTTGTACGGCACGGTGTCGATGTATCCGTCGTGCGGCCGTCCATTGTTGGGGTCCGCCGGGATGAAGCGTGTGGATTGCGAAGGCTCGACCCAGCCACCGTCGAGACTGGCAATGTCTTCGGATCGGACCAGTTTGCCTGCTCTGGACTTGGTATCGATAAGATACACCTTGAGAATGTCGCTTTCGCGGTTGGTCGATCTCACGAGGACCTTGCCCTCGGAAGCCCATAAGACCTCAATGATGATGCGGTCATCGTCTGCAAAGTCGTCTGCTACTTCGACGGAGAAGACCTCGTTCTTCTCGACGTCGTAGAACTGCAGGTCGACGACCGGGTTTGGGGCACCAGACTTGGGATACTTGATCTCCCTCACATCGGGGTAATTCTCGAGCCCGGGGAGAGGCTTCTTCCCGGATGGTCGCGAGATGTAGTACTGGACCGGAAACTCAGGCACGCTCGACTCATTTGTTCTGAAGAATGCGATATATTTCGCGTCGTTCGACCACCATGTGACACTGTTCCCCGATATCACCTCCTCTTCATACACCCAATCGGGAACACCATAAAACAGGTTCTCCCCGCCGTCCTTGGTAATCGCGATAGCGCTGTCCGACGACAATCTGCGCAGATACAAATTATTGTCCCGAACAAAGACGACCGCATCAGAGGCAGGAGACCAAAGCGCGAGCTGCACTCGACCATCCGGAGCTCTGGGATCCAGCGGTTGCGCTGTCTGAGAATCCACGTCCAACACCCAGTACTTCCCGGTGAACGAGTGCCTCCAGTTCTTCTCCTGCTCGGATATCAACAGCACTTTCTTCAAGTCCGGACTCGGCCAGACGTTGCTGGGAACAATCGCCTTCCCGTCCACGCGCACAATGGGCTTCCTCATCAGCACCTTGCTCTCCTGACCGGTGGCATCGCCCTTTCGACGCCGGATATCATCAACCCGGAGATAGCCCTCCTTCTCATCTCCACCCTTCTCAACTAACAGACCGTCTTCATCGTTCGGCCCCGCAACCCACCCAATCGCATGGTACCGGGGAAGCCATTGGCCCGAGAGCACCTGCTCCAGCGTGACAGGCTTCCCGGAGCTCGTGCTCGTGCTACCCGACGCGGAGTCGGGTTCGTGTGCCTTCAGCGCGTCCGAGGCAGTCTGGTAGTTCGCTCTTCCCCCCGTTAAAAACAGCACGAAGGCAAGCAACCAGCCTCCAAGGCAGAGAAGAGCCAGGATCCAGAATATCCGCCGTGCGCGACCGCCTCCGGTGGCTGCTTTCTTGGACGACGCGAGGAACGGCTCCGTCGGTTCCGCCTCGCCGTCCTCGAGGTCCCGGTATCGGTCTTCGTCGGCGAATCCCATCGTCTCGTTGGGTGAGGGGAAGTGTTTCTGTTCTCTCGGGAGGATGGATTCGGTGGATAGGCTCGAGTCGGATGAGGTTTGAGATGCGGAGGATGCCGATCGAGGGCGGGTCATGGGAAGGAATTCAGAGGTTTCTCCATGGTCGTCGGATGGCCTCATTGTCACGGTGGTTGTAGGACAGAGGCTGCAGTGCAATGATCGAGTCACATGTGACGGGCACGGCAGATCGACGATAAGCAAGGATGGACGAGGTTGTAGCAGTCAGGATGGCTAATTTACAGCCGTCTCTAAGAATATTATCAAACCAACAGGGAAATCATCGTCAACAGAAGGTCAATTCCTCGTCAATAGACAAAGAAAGTCAAGGAATGGAAAAGTGGGAACAGTGGTTGATGGACTCTGGGGTAAGCTGTTGTTGATGGCGGCAGTGCTATCTGGCGCCTCTTGGCAGCCAATCTTATTCATGTTATTGAGCTCCTTTTTGGGTATCTCGATCTATTCACGTACTTCAATGAATATCAAGCAAGTCAAATTCATCTATCTATCGCTAGAAATGATTGTGATGTTTTAGGTACTGCAGGAACGGGTGTGGTCCTAATTAGCAATTTGTTACCAATTTGTATATCAAACCAAGCTGAGTATATTTCTACCTGGGCTTCCAAGAAGGACCTGATCAGAAAAGTAATAATTGCGAAATGTCAAAAAATACTTCATGAGAGACTGTCGGTCTTTAGTAAACATACATGAAATGCCTGGTTCAAGCAAAAGAATACAGAATGAACCATATCAACCCCAGTACACTCCCGTAAACCTGTAGAATAGCCAAATAACTCCAAACTCCTTAGATCTTCCTGGGTATTTGCGAAAACAAGATACAAAGCGTGTCTCAAATTCAATTCATCCTATCCCACCCGAGTGAGCGACTTTAGCAGTGGATCGATCGGAAGCGAAGCTCAGCCGTATCGATGGCCAGCTTATAGGCTTGACCTTTGATGAGGGCCCACGAATCCTCATCGAACATGGGCTGTTCTCTGAGCATCTCGATAATGCGACCCACACAGTCGTGGAACCGCTTTACCTCGACATGAGTGAACATACACAGCAGCGCCGCCTGTTCCTCAACCGTTGCAAGCTGGTAATCACTATGCAAAAGAGGCTGCTGGTCCTTGCCCTCGTACGTCCGGACCAGGTGCTGATAGAACGCCCGGCACCTCTGCAGGATCGTTGAGCAGAGCAGATGGAGGAAGGCTCGGACGTATTCCTTCTCCGAGCACCGCTTGCAGGTGCTCATGGGCTCTAGGGGGTCGAGGGCGCGCCTGATGTAGTCCAGGCCGCACTCCTTCGTCTTGAGCGAGCTGAGTAGTGGATTGCGGAAGTAGGCAACATCCAGGGAGTTTATGCCCTGTAGAGTGCAATCGCATGGGAAGAGCTCATCGTCTGCCAGGTCGAGATCGATGGTTGGTGGGGGAGTGGCAGCTCGTTTGATTGCCCGCTTGTGGCAGTACCTGTGAGGAAATGTCTCCATCTGGGCGAGAATGACCTTTAGCCCCTTCATGAAGGTGATGGATTGGCCCTTCATGGTGTTTAGTTGCTGTGAGACAAGCGAAAGTTTGTAGTTGGTTATGAAGCGAGTGAAGAATATTGCTTGTTGCGAGTAAAGCGAACGACTGTAGAGTGTTGAAGAGAGGTGAAAGTGAGAAGAAGAGACGGGAGTGTTGGTCTGTTTTATACCTCTGCGACAGTCAGCCTCTTACATGCGAAAAATTCGTGCTGTTGAACCAAGGTAGAGCGACCGTGTTTGGCTTCAACGAGTCAAAGTGACGACATTCGCAGAGTCCCTGGAGATTGCAGCCTGAATGATCGGGCAGCATTCAAACCAAGTACTGACATAGCTTGACTCGTGAGCAGTTAGAAAGATTAGGGAGCACGAGACAAGTGTAAGTTGTAAGCAGCGTAAGAGTTATATGCATTGGATGGGTCATCTATATTCTGAAATCATTTGATTTTGGGTAAAATTACTTATCATTATACACCACATCTGATCTCCTGTGACCTATCTGCCTCCAGATCATCTCGAGAGAGCGATGTCATCAATTCTCATAATCATCTTTACCGTCTCAGCCGCAAGTTCGATCGCGCTGGTGCTCACCAAGAGCGGCTGCAGAATGTTCTCCTCCGTGATGTCGTCCCGCACACCGCCACTACGGATGCTGACACCAGCATTGTGCTGGCCTTGAGCGTGGCGGTGTCGCAGCTCTGTGACAACCTTGATCGAATTCAGACCAGCATTCTCGGCCAACGTGGTTGGAATAACCTCCATGGCTTCCGCAAACGCCTTCCAGCAGATAGCCTCGGTGCCAGCGAGCTCACGGGCCCGCTTTGCCAGAGAGTGAGCGACCTCAATTTCAGGGGCACCACCACCGGCGATAAGGGCGCGCCTCTTAACCAAGCAACGAATGACACAGAGAGCGTCGTGCAGAGACCGTTCGGCCTCATCCAGAATCAGGTTGTTGGCACCGCGAGCGACGATAGACACGGTCTGGTTGGCAGCGGTGGCAGGTGCCTTGATGCCGGTGATCTTTACGTACCGAGCACCGGACGCCTGAACCTCCTCGACAAGATCAGCAGTACCCAGCTTGTCCTCAGTGAAGGAATCAATGTTGGCGACTGGCTTGCAGCCGAGACTCTTGCACAGGAACTCAACCTCATCCCGCTCAATGTCCTTGATTGCAAGGATCTTGAGTCGTGAAAGGAAGTGAAGGGAGAGGTCGTTGACGGCGTCACGGAGGATCGATTTTTGGATGAGAAGGACGTTGCACTTGGTCTTCTGGATCTTCTTGATCATGTTCAGGAGGTACTGGCGTTCTTCCTTGAGGATCTTGTCCATTTGACGGTAGTCGTTGACAACGATTTGGTTCTCCATCTGCAATCGTCCATACATTAGCAAGCTGTATCGTGCTTTTGGAGTAGATACAACGTACATCGGGCTTGGGAGGGCTAAGCTGGAACTGAATCAAGCCTATCCGGGCCTTCTCGATTCTTGAGGGGCCGCCGCTGCTCTTGATGACGGGCTGGTTCAAGACGAGACCGTCAACCATCTCACTGTCCTCAATTGTACCGCCAACCTTCTTCACAATCCGGATGTTTCTCAGATCCACATTGTCTGCTGTCTTAGGATCGATCACCTTGAGCACCGAATCCACGGCCATGGGGCCAAGGAGACCAGAGTGCTGCGATACGATCTTGGACGATAGCGATGTAGAAGCGGCTTGCAGGAGAGTAGCACGGTCCATCAGGTTGATTGGCCGAGACATGTTTTGGAGGATTTCCACCGCAGCAGCAGCGGCTCTCTGGAAAGATTCGGAGATGATGGTCGGATGGATACCCTTGCCCAACAGGCGCTCGGCGGCTCCGAGCAAGCTACCAGCGATCACGACCACGGAAGTTGTTCCATCACCAGCTTCGACATCCTGAGCAGCACTCAGATCGACAAGCATCCTGGCCGCAGGGTGCATCACGCTCATGTCTCTCAACATCGTGTTTCCATCGTTGGTCTATGGAGGGGTTAGCGCCGAGCTGCATAGTTCGAGACTGGAATTCGTACGATAATTGTGTTTCCCTTGGGTGTTTGAATCTAATGACAGTCAGCATTGACCAACATGTAACTTTGGCCATGACCATACCATCTTATCCATTCCTCTGGGCCCCAGAGACTGTGAAGCCGTTAGCCCCTCACCTTCAGCATTTATGGGTCTCTAGATTGCATACTGTTCTGATGGCATCCGCGACGGCTAGAATCACATCAGCTATCATGTCATGCAGACGTTAAGATAATGGTCAATACCTCTAGCAGCCAGAATATTGGCTGTCCGAACCGCCATAGGCTTCTCCTTGTCCTGCGCGAGTATCAGAAAACGGCCCACAAGCAGTATTTGACTCGTGGAAACCACACACCTTGAAGGTAGTGCCAGGGACCCCCTGGGAGACTGCGGTCGCCATTCTGGATATTTCCGCGGATAGTAGCACAAAAATAAACTAGAAATTCGACAGAGACGCGGATGTGGTGAGGGGGAGTAGATCCAGACTCTGGAAGCGGCTCTGGGAATTTCTTCGAAGTTGCTTTGGCGGTGGTGATGCTTGGCGGCCACTAGCGTCAACAGCTGGAACCCGTCGGTGACAGCACCTCAAGCTTGAGAGCTCAATCACATCACTTTCCCAATCAAGCTTCACCTCACACATCCATCTCATCAGATTCTTTCGACCTCGTCCTTTCATCATAATCCCTATCCCGTCACGACTGTATTGACTACTTTATTCCCCTAGCCTTCCTTGTCATCCGGTTTCGTGGTCCAGTCTCACCATGCCTAGCGCCACGGGAGCGAACTGGGAGAAGTACAGGAAGAACTTCGCTGACGACGAAGAGCCGGAGAAGAAGATCACACCTCTCACAGACGAGTATGTTGCGGCTGCAAGCAAGCTGAGCCTCAAATGCAATTAATGAATCATCGGCTGATTATGAGACAGTGACATTCAAGTACTCAAGACATACGGCGCCGCTCCCTACGCGACCGCGTTAAAGAAGCTCGAAAAGCAGATCAAGGACAAACAAGCGAGCGTAAACGAGAAGATCGGTGTCAAGGTTTGTTAATCTTGGTGCGTTTTATCTCCGGATCTTGGCTGACCCTAGGTAGGAATCCGACACCGGTCTTGCGCCTCCACACCTTTGGGATGTTGCTGCAGATAGGCAACGCATGGCAGAGGAGCAGCCATTGCAGGTGGCTCGTTGTACAAAGATCATTTCCGACGAGAAGGATCCCGATAAGAGCAAATATGTCATCAACGTCAAGCAGATCGCCAAGTTTGTCGTGAATCTAGGGGAGAGAGTGAGCCCTACAGATATCGAAGAAGGCATGAGGGTCGGGTAAGTGGCTACGGTTTCTGTTGCTTTCGCAAATCTGATTATTTTTTACAGCGTCGACCGGAATAAGTACCAGATCATGTTACCTCTTCCTCCTAAGATCGACCCTAGCGTGACGATGATGACTGTCGAAGACAAACCGGACGTGACCTACGGCGATGTTGGTGGATGCAAGGAGCAGATTGAGAAGCTGAGGGAAGTTGTCGAAATGCCTTTGCTGTCACCGGAACGATTCGTCAACCTCGGTATCGATCCGCCCAAGGGTGCGCTGCTGTACGGTCCTCCCGGTACCGGCAAGACCCTTTGCGCTCGAGCAGTCGCTAACCGGACTGACGCCACTTTCATCCGGGTCATCGGTAGCGAGTTGGTTCAGAAGTACGTTGGTGAAGGTGCACGAATGGTTCGAGAGCTCTTTGAGATGGCCCGGACGAAGAAGGCATGCATCATCTTCTTCGACGAAATCGACGCGGTCGGTGGTGCTCGTTTCGATGACGGAGCTGGCGGTGACAACGAGGTTCAACGTACTATGCTGGAGTTGATTACACAGCTGGATGGTTTCGATGCCCGTGGTAACATCAAGGTCATGTTTGCAACCAACCGACCGTCGACCTTGGACCCTGCCCTGATGCGTCCTGGTCGTATTGACCGTAAGATCGAATTCTCGCTTCCCGACGTTGAAGGCCGCGCCAACATTCTCCGCATTCATGCCAAGAGTATGTCAGTCGAGAGGGACATTCGGTGGGAGCTGATCTCCCGACTGTGCCCTAATGCTACCGGTGCGGAACTACGGAGTGTTGCCACAGAAGCTGGCATGTTTGCCATCCGGGCGCGGCGGAAGGTCGCTACGGAGAAGGACTTTTTGGCCGCTGTGGACAAGGTCATCAAGGGCAACCTCAAGTTCAACTCGACGGCGACATACATGCAGTACAATTAGATGGCGTCTTTATGCATCCTGGGTTACATTGCATGGCTGGATGGATGTATGATCAGATTTAGCTCGGTGATTCGGTCTATGATGGTTCCTTAATACAATCTACTGTGCATTATCAGATGCCAACATGCTCACTGCGTACCCAAGTATGTTCTGAACCATACTATGATGGATCGATCGATCGATCGATAGGTTATATGCGATATACGTATAGTCACGTGATTTAAATTCCAAGGCCGATAGCCGATTTCCACCCATGCGTCGCTATTCCTTACCGTGCTGGCTCTTCGTTTAGCTCTCTAGATTTATTGAAGAGGATAAAGCGTTGTAGCTCTTCGAGCTCTTTTAGCTCATCTGCAGAATCACTCAGTCTCATCGTCTTCATCGGCCACTCACCCCGGAATTCTTCGCTGCTGCCGGGTTAATAGAAGACCGGCCACGTGCCTTGCCCTTTTTGGCCAATGAGAAGCTCCCGGCTGCCCGAGGTGATTACTACTGCGCATTAGCTGATTGGCTGTCTCGGCCCCGGCCCTCCCCGTCGGCAAGTGAGGGAAGATTATGTCAGCCGGCCCTTCCTGTCCTCAGAAGAACCGACGATCCAAAAGTGCAGCTCATGAATACTACCACCGGCTTTGATCTCGTCTTGCCTGTTCTCCCCTCCTACTCCCACTAAACAACTGCCTTTGCGCTGTTGGTCCCCCTCATCTGATAGCTTCCTCTCAGACTCATATAGGATTGTGTCTCTTTTCTTTTGATCCGCCCACAATGAGCTCCCTGAGCTTGCGGAGCCTAGCTCCCGCTTCGAAGGTCGGTTACCCGAGGGTCTTTTCAGCGATTTTACAACCCTTGATTTTATAGGATCGCCGTGCTGACTCGCATATTTTCGCAGATTTCCCGTGCTTTGAGGGACCAGAGACGTCTTTTCTCCTCGACAAGGCCAGCAGGTACGCATTGAATTCCGCAAAGATGACCTCCCGCTCCTCACTAACTCCGTCCGTTCTTCCAGCCCGCATCTTCGCCAACCGCCCTTTGCGCGCCAAGGAGGCTACTGGTTACATCTCCTCGAAGTATCCTGTTATTGTAAGTGACTGTCGCTTAGCATGGGGACAAGCTGGCCTAATTGACGGTAGGACCACGAATACGATGCCGTTGTTGTCGGTGCTGGTGGTGCCGGTCTGCGTGCCGCCTTCGGTCTGGCGGAAGCCGGGTTCAACACTGCCTGTGTCTCGAAGCTCTTTCCTACGAGATCTCACACAGTTGCCGCTCAGGGCGGTATCAACGCTGCTCTGGGAAAGTATGTCAATGATTGATGGAGTTGTGTCCTGGATGATTGCGCTAATCTCGATGTGCAGCATGCACCCTGACGACTGGAGATGGCACATGTACGATACTGTGAAAGGTTCCGATTGGCTGGGTGACCAGGACGCCATTCACTACATGACCAGAGAGGCTCCCGCTAGTGTTCGTGAGCTCGAGGGCTACGGATGTCCCTTCTCCCGTACCGAGGATGGCCTTATCTACCAGCGTGCTTTCGGTGGTCAGTCCAAGGAATTCGGCAAGGGTGGTCAGGCCTACCGTTGCTGCGCCGTCGCTGATCGTACCGGTCACGCTCTTCTCCACACTCTCTACGGACAGTCTCTGCGCCACAACACTAACTACTTCATCGAGTACTTCGCCCTGGATCTGCTGATGGAGGATGGTGAGTGCCGCGGTATCATCGCCTACAACCAGGAGGACGGTACCCTGCACCGCTTCAAGGCCCACCACACCGTTTTGGCCACTGGTGGTTACGGACGTGCCTACTTCAGCTGTACATCCGCCCACACTTGCACTGGTGACGGTATGGCCATGGTCGCCCGTGCTGGTCTGCCCAACCAGGATCTTGAGTTCGTTCAGTTCCACCCCACTGGTATCTATGGCGCCGGTTGCCTGATCACCGAGGGTGCTCGTGGTGAGGGCGGTTACCTGCTCAACTCCGAGGGTGAGCGTTTCATGGAGCGTTACGCCCCTACCGCCAAGGATCTGGCTTCCCGTGACGTCGTCTCCCGTTCCATGACCCTTGAAATCCGCGAGGGCCGTGGTGTTGGTCCCGAGAAGGACCACATCTACCTACAGCTGAGCCACCTGCCCGCTGAGCTTCTGCACGAGCGTCTGCCCGGTATCTCGGAGACCGCCTCCATCTTCGCTGGTGTCGACGTCACCAAGCAGCCCATCCCCGTCCTGCCCACCGTCCACTACAACATGGGTGGTATCCCCACCAAGTACACCGGTGAGGTCTTGACTGTGGATGAGCAGGGTAACGACAAGGTTGTCCCCGGTCTGTACGCCTGTGGTGAGGCCGCCTGTGTCTCCGTCCACGGTGCTAACCGTCTGGGTGCCAACTCGCTACTCGACCTCGTTGTCTTCGGCCGTGCCGTTTCTCACCGTGTCCGTGACATCGCCACCCCTGGCAAGACCCACCGTGAGCTGAGCGCCGACGCTGGTGCCGAGTCCATCAAAGACCTCGACTTCGTCCGCAACGCCGAAGGCCCCAAGTCGACTCACGAGATCCGGAACGCCATGCAGAAGACCATGCAGTCTGATGTCAGCGTCTTCCGTACCCAGGAGAGTTTGGATGAGGGTGTTGAGAAGATCACCGCCATCGACAAGATGTTCGACCAAGTCGGTACCAAGGACCGCAGCATGATCTGGAACTCTGACCTTGTCGAAACTCTCGAACTTCGTAACCTGCTCACTTGCGCGTATGTATCCTCTCAGAAATCAAATCTTCCAGAAAGATGCTAACAAGATGTCGTCTAGTACTCAAACCGCAGTTGCCGCCGCCAACCGCAAGGAGTCTCGCGGTGCCCACGCCCGTGAGGACTACCCCGAGCGTGATGATGAGAACTGGATGAAGCACACTCTCACCTGGCAAAAGAACCCTCACGGTAAGATTGACCTCAGCTACCGTGCCGTCGAACACAAGACCCTCGACGAGAACGAGTGCAAGAGCGTTCCTCCCTTCAAGCGTGTCTACTAGATACATTCCTCTGCGCTTGATGTGAAGTAATCTCTGAACATTCACATACCTTCAATGAGGCTGGATTGGCCACGGGATCCGGTCAATCTCAAGGTGGGGCCCTGGGATTTTCGACCCGTCAGCCCTTAATTGCTTTGCTGAACCGTGGAGGGTGGATTGATAAAAAGGAGCGTCATGAAATTTTTGCATTTTCTTGTGTCATAACTGTATATCCATGTTTTGCCATTCGGGCGATGAGTTAGGTGTACTCACGTTATTTGTTTCCATAGCAGTTTCTGATATACAATTGGAGTTTTCTTTTGCGTCAGGATATATGCTATCCCATCCAAGTTAGGATTCCTCAATTCAAACCGCTATATGACATTGTGGAGGCTCATTGGATGACCGGGGATAGTCTCTCAATTTCTGCTGCCATGGTACGTGACCTCGAACTTTCTTTGGCTTTGACTTTTATGGAAAATGGCCTAATCCGGTTGTGTAGAGTGCCTTCGGGCCTTTTCTTTGTTTGTCATTCCCTAGTCTTAAGACAAAGAAACCACCCCTACGGCCCGTCCAACGCCTACGATGCTGGTCCTCAAACATCATCAAGTCAATGGGTTTCATCCCTTCAATGGGCTTGGATTCAGTGATGTCTGGCAGCTCAATCCCGCCTAGTGATGCAGAGTGCTGATCCTTCGAGTCAAGGCAAATGTCACTATTGCAACCGATAGCTCTATTCATTTTTTTCGGATTCGACGGTGAAGAATGAGGCCATCACCGGTCCTCCGCCACGAACCCTGTGTCCGTAATCCTTATGGTGGCCGGTATCGGCTCCATAGGACTGAATGGTTCTACACCAAGGACTTCGCCGCAATTTTGGCAGACAAAGAACTCGAGTCATTAAGTCGTTGCCACTTCGTATGGCTCACTCTCTTTGGCGTGGTGATGTTTCAGGACGACTTGCATAGCCATGTGCGTTCCGGGAAAAGAAACAATGCTCAGTGCATCTCATACTTCCTTTTAGCTTTCTTGGACTCAGAACGACCACATGGCGCCTACTCCATGGTAACCACTGTCCCGGCGACCCTGAAGATCTCACTTCTTCATCCGTTCGCTTGTTATTGTTTCACTCTCATTTCAATTTATGATCCTGTCTTCTGCTAGTGCAGGTGTATAGTTGACTTAGTTGACGTCTCTAGTCGTCGAGAGATGACTCGCCATCTCGCCCGTCAAGCCAACACTTGCACCGGCAGCAAGCAATGGTATGTTTGCTCCAAGGGCAAATTCCATGGCTGTTGTTCAGTCGATCCGTGCAATACCGGGGTATGCCCCGATCAAGAAAACCAGACAACACTGTCAACTGCGACTACTGCAAACACCTCCAAAGCTACCTCAACTACAACAGCGACCTCACCAACGGCAGCTATCACCACCGCCCCGTCTACAAGCTCGCAGGGAGACATCCCAGGCATCATTGCGTCTCGGACTGTGACTCAGGCCGTTGCACCGGCAACAGATACTGCCAATACGAGTCCTGGCAGGGACCATGGCGCATTGATCGGGGGTGTTGTGGGAGCTGTACTGGCCTTGATCCTGCTGAGCGGGCTGTTATTCCTAGTTTACCGATCTCGCAAGAAGCATGGTAAACGGTTTGTTTTGCTGAGCTGGCGTGTGACTCGTGAGGAGAGCCATGAGAAAGCGCTGCCAGTTGCAAGCAGTAGGGGCTTTGGCTCTGGGAACGAGGAACAATTGCCTGATGGTGAGATACGACGCCCCCTACGTGAGTCCTTCTCAACCCAGAAACTGACCCTGCTTCATGCTTCAGCACCAAATTACAACACGCCATCCATCCCAGTCTCCAGCCAAGCCTTAACGGTGCCCGGCTCAGACCGAACTTCAGCAACATCAAACACTATAAGCCAACCATCCACCAACAGCACAAACACAAACACAAACATAGGTATAATCTCAGCACCCACCGTGACAACCCATCACAGCTCCTCCTCCTTACCACCAGCATCATCCACAACAAGCCACCCCTCCCCCCATCTCAGCCTCAGCACAAGCACCAGTCCCCATCCACCATCATCCACCCCAGCACCAGCACCCGCACCCGCACCCCCCAACCTCGCAGAAACAACCCCCGAACTCTCAGACACAGGCTTCTACCGCCAACGCGCCGAGCTGGCCGCATACTCCCAAAGCGAGCTAATCAACATCCCTCCCTCGCGACGGCAGGCGCTCCCTGCGCAGCATACCGATCCCGAGACTGAGCAGTCGGCTCAGCCGCAGCTGCCGTCGATCATCACGCCGGACGGGGTGATCCTGGGCGCGAACTTCGATTACAGGGTTCCTGGGGATGATCCGTATCCTGGTCCTGGGGAGGGGCTCAGCCATGTGCTTAGCTTTATGCATTTTGAGGAGGGCGGGCGTTCAGGGGAGTGGAGGAAGAGTTTTGAGAGTGGGACGGGGGTTTGAGTTTGTTGTTGGAGCTGTTGGATTGCTGTTGTGAGAGCGTGGTTCTTGTGCTGGACCGGGTGGTTGATCTCGGTGTGGATGTATACTTAGTGTCTATTGTTGGCGTGCTGTTTGGTTGACAGTTGGTGGTTTTCTTCTTATGCATTTGACTTAATGTGTATTTCCTTGTATACTGTTGTTGGTGAATTTAGTATAGATTAATGTTGACTAGGAGAGCTGACGAAGACAAGAACCGAAGTGTATTCTATATACCAACTAAAACATATAACCCGAAAGATCTCGCTTTTCATTCCCTAAACACACAATATTACCACGGATTCTTATTCTTACAACAGACCCCTGAGAACGGCAGTTTGTTCCAGCACGGCACGGCGGCTGGTTCCGCCGACTGCATCCTTCAGCTCGACGGCACGCTCGTAGTCCAGACAAGCCTGGACATCCTCGTCGAAGCGCGCGTCAACCGCCTTGAGCTGCTCGAGCGATAGCGTGTCCATGGGGACATTGTTCTTCTCTGCCAGGGCGACGACACGGCCGGAGATGTGGTGGCCCTCGCGGAAGGGGACGCCCTTGCGGACGAGGTAGTCGGCGATTTCGGTGGCAAGCATCTCGGGCGCCAGGGCGGCGGTCATCTTCTCCGGGAGGACGGTGAGGGTCGACAGGACGCCGGTGGCGATCTGGATGCTGTCGCTGACGGTCTTGATGTGGTCTAGCAGGGGCTCGACGCTCTCCTGCAGGTCCTTGTTGTAGGTGGTGGGGAGACCCTTGATGGTCATCATCAGGCCGGCCATGTGGCCGAAGGCGCGGCCGGCCTTACCGCGCAGAAGCTCCAGGCTGTCTGTTCTCGTTAGTTGAAATCAAGAACGAGGAAGAACGGACGCAACTCACCTGCGTTCTTCTTCTGAGGCATCAACGACGAGCCGGTCGAGTAGGCGTCGGACAACCGGACGAAACCAAACTCCAAACTGCTGTAGATGATCAGATCCTCGGCCCAGCGAGAGATCTTGAGCATGAACGAGCTTCCCCACTGCATGGTCTCCATGGCAAAGTCACGGTCGGCCACCGCGTTCATCGAGTTGTACAGCAGACCCTCGAAGCCCAGCTCCTTGGCCATCGCCTCCCGGTCGATCTGGAAGGGGTTTCCGGCCAGCGCGCCGGTGCCCAGGGGGCTGCGGTTGACACGCCGGGTGACCTCCCGCAGACGCTGCAGCTCACTGGCGAAGGCAGTGGCATGCGACAGCAGCCAGTGGCTCCACCGGACGGGTTGGGCCTTCTGCAAGTGGGTGTAACCGGGCATGATGAAGTCGAGCTCACTCTCGGCGCGCGCGATGGAGACCTTGATGAGGTCGCACAGGACGGCGTCCAGCTTGCGCAGCTCGTCCCGCAGCCACAGGCGCATGTCGGTTGCGATCTGCTCGTTGCGGGACCGGCCGGTGTGCAGCTTGCCTCCGATCTCCTTACCAATGATCTCGGAGAGTCGGCGCTCGTTGGCTGTGTGGATGTCCTCGTCATTCTCCTTGACGACGAAGGTGTTGGAGCTCCATTCTTCGGCGATCTGCTTGAATCCGCGCTCGATCTCGGAGAACTCGTGCTGGGTCAGGATGCCGGTCTTAGTGTTGGCTCGGGCAAAGGCAAGGGAGCCGGCAATGTCCTGCTTCCAGAAGATACGATCGTAGGGGAGGGATTGGTTGTACTGAACCATCAGGGGGTCGAGGCCCTCTGTGAGTCAAAAGATAAGTAGGTTAGTTGTATTCGGAGGAATTGAAACTGGGGTAGGGGGTACATACGGGTGAATCGACCACCCCAGAGCATGTTCTCTGCGACAGCCTTGGGAGCACTCATTGTGGAAGCTGTAGATGAAGGAATTGATGAATTGAAGAGGAGAATGTTGTCAGGAAGAGGTGATGGACAGGTCGGAATCCAAATAATTATTCGGTGATTCATCCGGGGAGCGACATCGGCGCTAACCGGATGGGGATGACCTATCAACATGAGTCACCAATGCTATGGTCATGGAGGGTTGATTTTCCTTCTGTGATCCATGTGCTCGATCAATATGACGATATTCTGGTAATATGGGGGCTCATGTTGCCTTACGAGCATTGCAATGGTCCGCCGTCGAAGTACAGTTGGAGACGAGTTCAACCGCCATGCTATCAGTCAGTCTTCATGAATTGTCATTAAAGCAGCGAAAGGACCTGTTGTCTGAGGCGGGCTACAAGATTATTATCAAAGTAAAAGATCACAGAGTTCGTGGTTCTCCAGATCTTATTGGCCTCGTAATCACGATGACCAGATCCTCGACCTCAGCCTCGCACAGCTTCAGACGGGTTGACGGGCTATATGAGGGGAAGGAGGCTCCCCCTCGATCTGGAATATCATCTGAACGCGGACAAACATGCATTATTCAACGCAGTAAGACAGCTCAGCATGTCCTCCGGCTTCTCATCAGGGACATGGTCTCCTCAGTCAGCCGTTGTACCGACTCTATTCAGCTGTTACGAGTGGCAGAAGCGCTGCTCCGCGGGATTTGAAAAAGCTTGAGCAGGCTCTTTTCTGCCTACGTTGTTCTCTCAATCACTGGAAATACCGCTGACGATAGCGTGCGATGCAGTCCGATTCGAAAGCAAAGGTCTTAAAAGATAAACTTGATATCATGATCGCATCATGTTCTGAGACTCTCCAGAAATTAAACACGGCGACGCGCAAGTATCGAGAGACTGCCAAAGACCGAATGAACACCGGTGGTCTCCGAATCAGATGAGAGCTCAATATATGAGGGTAACGTGGGATTCCAAAGGATGATCTCAATGATTATCGCCAGAAGTTGCAGCCACATGCTGATACAGTCAACTTGTTTTGAGGACTTTCATATGGTACGACAAGCAGAAGCTATGTGACGCGAATGTTCGGACTACGCAGTACAGGTCAACGACGGATACTCATTCATGCTAATGGCAAGAAGTTGAGTGAGAAGCTAGAGGGGATCTTGAGACAGGCAAAGCAGTCAAGCGACATAACGGCTGGAATGACACGAGACGTATGGATGATGGTTCAGGTCAAGCTGCTACCGCGCCCGCAAACTACCGCCTGGAGATGTGTTAGGGGACTCTGTTTGGGGACTCCTATATACAGCTCTCAGGACAAAGTGGACCGATTGGGGGAATATTCCTTTTCCCCCATCAGAGGTAACAAGTTCTAAAGCCCAATCTGCTGCCGTACGAATCACCTCATTTAACCGAAAGGTGCGGAGACAATCAACGGAGAATGAAGTCTGGGAGGAATGAAGGAATTTGAAGAGTCCCTCAAGAGCTACGAAGCACCTCAGATCCCAGTGTTTCCATCAAATGTTTACCGGAAAGTCTCCACTTCAGCAACGCATGAAGGAATCGACTTTGTCCTTCGCCCGATCTACTCCAATGACCGGTCGTGAGGTTGTTAGAATCGGAGACAGGAAGTGGTCAACTGGATTCATGGACTAGACCAGATCTCGACTTCTTTAGCCGCTGAGAAATGGCAAGAACATCAGGTCACAGTAAATGAGCTTGCCGGGGTTCTGTTCACTCGAATAACTCGCTCGAGGAACGCCGAGAAGATATCATGAAATTGTTGTACCCACGCATCGGAGGGCCGCGTTGATGAAGTATTCTCCAAGCTAGAGGGCATCTCAGCCCGGTGCACGCAAGCCATAGAAGAGTTTATGATGAGCGTACAGAATGGGGAGAAAGGCAAGGTCGTTCGCCCGGTTCGATCAGCAAATGCCTAACCACCTGCCTTTTATTCCACTACATGTGACATAAAATGGATTGACACAATCCCAGGCAATCCTAAACTACTGCAACTAGCGAAAGCTGCAGAGTACATGAGCACAGCCACAGATGCAGCAGTTTCTTAAAGGTTGGGCTCCTCATATGCATCAGCCACGGTGATGTCCTTTTGGAGTATTGATTTTCTCATCAAAGGTGCGGTGTACCCCTTGCTTAGGCGGGAACTCCGATATCCTGAAGGACAGGAATCGAACAAATACAGTCAACGGTCCCAAACTCTTGTTGATACACATAGAGATGCAGTGTACTGGCTTTATATCATGCAGATCTTTGTGGACAGAGAATAGTGACAGTCAAAGAACGAAGAGACTTTGAGGCACTTCAACTCGTGTTTACTACCTAGCAAAGACGACACTTTTTAGCAAATAAATGTATGTTTCCGAGACAGCCTGCAAACAACCACTATCGTTGTTCAGCGCATGCATCTTTGATTCTCTGCCATGGTTGAGCTGCTGTGCAATCCAACATGAGGCTCAGCGAGCTCTGCCTCTGCTGGATATATATGTGATAGTTCTCTCAAACTTCCCATCTTTCTACCAGATCTGCCTTGCACACTGCTTTCCCTCTTCAGATGCTTGATATATCTATCCCACTCTGGTTATATTTGCCTCTTCTACACTATATATACTTCTTCTCTTTCTCTTCTTCTCTTCATGCTTAGCATTCGATTTGAATGCTACCATGTTCTCCTGCCTGAGTCGAGTGTCATGATTTACACCTCATGCTGGACAATGGATCACCAGCTTCGTTTCGACACTGACATACCTCCATACATATAAATATATATTTTCCCTCCGCTTATTGCTCCTCTTACCGCAGAGCTTCACCGTCTGTTCATCAGTACGATTGGCAATGCTGAGGAGCACCCGACAGCCCCTCTCGGCGCATATATCCTACGATGTTCTCTTCTTCTTTCTCCCATGCTTACTCCGCTTCTGTTTCAAAAGCTTTCAGCAATTGAGGCAGCTGCGTTCGACATTCGGATCGACAATACGATGGGTATATCATCAATCGAGTGCAACATGGCATGGCACACCATTTGGAAGATGGGCTGTCATTAAGGACAAAAAGCAACGTCAGCAGCGCATGCTGTCCTGCTGCTTCGAGCCAGTACCTGAGGCGGGTTGAACTCCAGGCCTTTTGTGAGGAAGCATCCTAATGACTGTGTACGACACGGAATCTCGCATCAGATGGGCTCCCCGGCACTAGATATATTCGAAGATTCTTCGGAATTATGAGTGTTATGGCACTATGGTGCTTCGCCCTGGTCCTTTGTGAACACTCCATATGTGGGACTCAACGGTAACAGAGGCATTGGACAGGTTGAAGAGAGCGAAGAAGTCAGGAAGATGAATGCAAGTGTACACTCTACTCTATACTTACTTCCGCTTCTGTGGAAGGCTTGGGATACATACTCAACGTGATGATCTTGCGTCTGAATTTAAAGATTACGCAACTGAGGAAGGGAAGTTGATGTAATTAAGAAACTAGAGCCGGCTATTGTTCATTTAGACTTCATTCAAAAAGTTTACATATAAAAATTGGCACCCAAGTGGGTCACCTATAGGCTCCATATAAACTACACCTTTGAATTTTGATACGGGTGATAAGTCTGTTTTTCAGCTCAACTGCACCTGACGAAGTGGGATCACCACGCCGTGTCGCTGCTGACAAGACCTCTACTGAGGTGCCCATATGCGTTCTACCTCCTTTGAGTCCTGATATACATCATGTATTATTCATGCTTACCACTCTCGCTGCTTCGCCTGCGCATTTAACACATCTTCATAAGTATGTTATGGCCCAAAACAAACAAAGTGAGAGGAAGGGGTTCGTTTCAGCCACGCATGCGAACCTGGGCCTACCTTACCAATCTTGCACTAAGCCTGGCACTGATTCGGACGTTGTCACATCTCTGTGACTCTGATTGAGTTGAATTCCAACTGGTGTTTGTTCACGCCTGTGATTTGTCTGTTATATCACCCTATTCAGCCTAGCGGCGTGACTGACGCCTCTGTTGGTGGGCTATTCCTTCCTAGCATGCATTATTGGGCACAAGATTAGCTTACCATTTGACTGGCTTACAAATTTAGCATTGTTTCTGCTGACATCCTTCCCCCATGGCGCTGGCTAAAACGCAGCCTTGCGCTCAGCCTCATGGAGCTGATTGACCCTCCCACACCTAACCAGCTGCAACAGTATGTACCGACAACGTCCACTGCATGATGAGAGACAGCGAGCGAATGTTGTATGTTGATGTGTTACATCCTCAATAACCCATGAGAATGGCCTCCCGAATACTATCACACAGCGACTATACAGTGGCATGGATCTGCGCTTTGCCGCTGGAAACGGCAGCGGCGAAGGTCATGTTGGATGAGGTTCATGCTTCACTGCCCCAGCCAGAAACCGATCACAACGTCTACACTCTTGGAAACGTTAGCGGCCACAATGTGGTGATGGCATGCCTACCATCGGGTGTATACGGAACGATATCTGCTTCAACTGTGGTGTCGCACATGGTTTCTACCTACCCAAATATCCGATTTGGATTGATGGTTGGCATTGGAGGGGGAGTTCCCAGCAAAAGCGCTGACATTCGCCTTGGTGATGTTGTGGTTAGCAAGCCAACTGCCACCTCAGGCGGCGTTATCCAGTATGACTACGGCAAAACACTTCGTGGAGGACGTTTTCAGCGCACTGGATCCCTCAATAAACCTCCTCCAGTCTTGTTGAAGGCTGTGGCTCAAATGGAGAGTGACTATATGACTGGAAAGAACCTAGTCAGCAAAATCATAGGCGATGTACTGCAGAAAGAAGAAATCAGGGGGAAGTTCTCACGACCAGAGTGCGACTGGCTGTTCCAATGGACATATGACCATAAGGGGAAGGAAGCAAACTGTTCAGCATGTGATCAGAAAGAGCTGGTAGACCGGCCTCCGCGAGCAACCAATGAGCCTCTCATCCATTATGGCTTGATCGCTTCCGGAGGTCAGGTCATAAAAGATGCGAGGACTCGAAATTTCATTGCCCGAGACCTGGACATTCTCTGCTTTGAAATGGAAGCTGCCGGTCTCATGGACGAACTCCCATCTCTTGCCATTCGAGGCATCTGCGACTACTGTGATTCCCACAAAAATAAACAGTGGCAAGGATATGCCGCTCTTGCGGCTGCCGCCTATGCGAAGGTCCTCCTGTCAGTGGTTCCCATTTACCACCACGGCAAGGAATTACGTGCATCAAAGAAATCAATTTGGATGGTCCCCTTTAGAAAGAACTCGCGATTCGTGGGCCGGCAAGAAAAAATCAGCAAAATTGAAGGATTGATCATGCAACAGGACGGTCCTGGCAGAATTGCTATCTGCGGACTGGGCGGAGTTGGAAAGACCCAAATCGCACTTGAACTGGCATACCGCATGCGAAATCGAGACCCTAAATGCTCAATCTTCTGGATCTCATGTACCACCTATGAGAGCGTGGAGCAGACCTACATGAGCATCGCATCAAAGCTAGGAATGACTGACACAAAGCCGGCAGAGGTCAAAGAACAAGTCAAGGCTTATCTTAGCCAGGAAAGCACGGCGAAATGGCTCTTTATTTTTGATAACGCAGATGATTTGGAGATGTGGACAATGGCAGACTTTCTGCCTGAGAGCGAGCGAGGCCACATTCTCTTCACCACCCGAAGCCGGCAGATAGCCGTGAAACTGGCGTCATCTGATGTGATAATGATCCCTGAACCGGACACAGAGACTGCTGTTGAAATTTTACGAAATTCACTGATGAAGAAAGACTTGCTAAATGATCGTGAGGCAGCCATTGCTCTCCTTAACGAGCTCACCTGCCTTCCCCTGGCAATCACCCAGGCGGCAGCATTTATCAATGTCAACGAAATTAGACTTTCTGAATACACCACACTTTTGCAAGAGAATGAGCCGGATGTGATTGAGTTTCTGAGTGAAGACTTTGGGGACGAGGGGCGGTACAAAGATATCCAGAACCCTGTCGCAACGACCTGGTGGATTTCATTCCAACAGATCCAGCAACTGAATCAAACAGCAATTGACTATCTATTCTTCATGGCCTGCATCAATCCCCGCCACATTCCGCGGTCCTTGCTACCCCAGACGATATCGAAAAAGAAAACTATCGATGCCATTGGCCTCCTCAAGGCCTTTTCCTTTGTAAATGAGGAGGGTGGAGACTGTCCTCTGAATCTTCACCGACTCGTCCATCTTGCAACCCGGAACTGGATGAGGGAGAACCAACAGTTCAGCCAGCAGATCTTAAAAACAGCTGATCGATTGAGTGAAGCCTTTCCAATCGCTGACGATACCAATCGGAAGCTGTGGCGCCAATATCTACCTCATGTTCTTTCATTAGTCGGAGAAGTTGAATTTCGACAGGAGCAGGAGAAATACACTGATATGCTTCTGAAGATTGGGAATTGCCTTTACTGGGATGGAAGATATAAGGCAGCAGAAGATCAGTTTTTGCAGGTACTAAACATCCAGAAACAAGTGCTGGGGCCAGAGCATCCGGACACTCTGACTGGCATGGCCAGCTTGGCATTAACATACTCACATCAGGGACGATGGAAGGAAGCAGAGGAGCTAGAGATAAAGGTAATGCGCAAACAGGAGCTAGGGCCAGAGCATCCTGACACTCTGGCCAGCATGGCCATGTTAGCATTAATATATCAGGAACAGGGACGATGGAAGGAAGCAGAGGTGCTAAAGATACAAGTGTTAGAGATGCGCAAACAGGTGCTGGGGCCAGAGCATCCGGACACTCTCACTAGCATGGCCAGCTTGGCATTGGCATACTGGAGTCAGGGACGATGGAAGGAAGCAGAGGACCTAGACATGGAAGTGCTGAAGATGCGTAAGCAGGTACTGGGGCCAGAGCATCCTGGCACTCTGAGCAGCATGGACGACCTGGCTATCACCTGGAAATCCCAAGGGAAAATTCAAGCTGCATTGGCTCTAATGGAGCAATGTATCGCGCTACAGAACAAAGTCTTAGGACCCGACCATCCAGATGCCTTGTCCTCCTCTCGCACCCTCAGGAAGTGGACAGAAGTGGACCACCCCTTATTGAACCATCACGAGCTGCGACCTGATGAACATCCCGAGGCAATCTCAGCTGCTGTGGTTGCCACTGAGCCAGATAACGAAGAACATATTGAACGCACGGAGCCATACCAAAGTCAAATAGGCTTGGCAACGCCTGCAGAACGGTTCCTTGAAAGACATCCTCTCCTCATGGCTTCCAGAAGCATTTCACCTGTGCCAGGAACTCATGACTTGGAAGACGTTGATTGAGTAAGGTGGATGTTACAACATGTTGCATCGAGGCCATGTCCTTTTCTCATACAATCACGAAGAATTGTGCCTAGGGTGGAACGAGAAGATGATTTCGACAATTTGGTCACTTGGAATCAACGACAGGACAACGTCAGGGGCGCCATTGAAAGCTTTGCTGAGTATTGTTATTCTTCCACGTATGTGCGTCTTCGTGCGTCTGGTAGCTGGAGAAAGTATTAACTGTTGCATACTAGTCAGGGCTTCATCTGTGAAGACACACAGCTGATCTTTACATCGTTGTCCTCCGTACAGACGTCCACTCCAACTGGATAAGACAGAGCGTATCTTCCCTGCGTCAGAGCTGCCTTATACGAGATCACCCCGATGTGTAGATTCTCGACAGTTTGATAGAAGTGAAGCTAAGAAGCATTCGAGCAGCATGGGGAGAACTGTAAGTGGTCAGTTTCATTATCTCGAAGACACTGTCTGACAATGGTGGCATCCAGTGACTCAAAGAAAATGTGCTCTGAATTCTGGACATGTTTGACCCTGCTTTGGCGATCCATCGATGGTCCTTTGACCCTTTAGGCCTTTAGTCTTTACAGACCATCCCCTGGCGCTAGTCTGTTTTGATAAGTCCAGGCATTCTGATTCGACCAATCAGATCGCTGATTGCTTCCATGATCTATGCCGATATCGCATTTCCTTACTATATGCTACGTAGTTAGATCAGAATGGTAGTGTCACCACTCTGTGCTAATTGTAATTGTATGGTAGATGCATATACGCGGAATGAACATGGATGGAGGTCTGATTCTGGCAATAGTACTTATCCAAAGAAGAAATAAAAACAGTATAGAACTCTGCAGATCTCTGCCAAATAGCAGGTTGAACCCATGGTAGGATCCAGCAATATGATTATTCAAACCAGAGAGGAGTCGGTTGACAGGTACGGACAAATTCGGTTAGCGCGGATTGTATATCATCTGTCTGCTTCACTTGTCAAACTACATCTCTCCACCTCGCTATCTTGACTTTTGATTCCGCGTCTAGTCTACTATTATTGCAAGCCCCTTTCAAATCCGTACCTCCTGTCTAATATCAATACACATCGACATGGTGGTTCATGTGTCAGGTTTCGCTTACTATAAATGGCCTTCTGCTGCAACCAGAGACCGTGACTACGTCCCCGAGGAGTCTGTAGAAGCGGATAGGCGCAGAGACGACGACGACTACTACCCAGGCACCGTAGTCATCCAACCTGGCAAATACACCCCAGGAACGGGACAGGTCATTCCCAAAAAGTTCACCCCGCCCAGTCCCTCCACCAGACCACAGGACCTCTTCCCGCCGGGTCGACGAGAGGATACCTCCCCGCCCGTCCGGCGGTTCATCTCGCGGTTAAACCGCAATGAGATGCTCATCTACACGGACGGTGCCTGCCTGGGCAACGGCCAGGCGAATCCCAGGGCAGGCTGCGGGGTGGTCTTCAGAGAGGAGCGGCCCGGGCGAAGGGGCCATTTTGCGTTCCCGCTTGAGCTGCAGGGCCTGCGAGGGGTGGACGAAGGTTGTTATCGCGACGGACTCGGCGTATGTGGTTGAGGGGGCTACGACGTGGGTTAAGGGGTGGGTGCGCAATGGGTGGCGGACGCGGACTGGGAAGAGTGTCAAGAATCAGGACCTGTGGAAGTGCTTGCTGGGGTGGTGTGAGGATGCGGCTACGTTTCGGGCCAAGACGAAGCTTGAGTTCTGGCGGATCCCGCGCGAGTGGAACGCTGAAGCAGATGGGTGGGCTAAACTTGCTGCTGCTAGTGATGTGAGGGCGACGGCCTTTGGCAAGCCGTCGGGTCTGACGATTTAGGATTGCTTCTCTAGCCGTTTGCCTTGCCTCATAGGACCATCGTCAAGTATGTGGTCATGTAATCTTAAGGGCAGTATACTGCGTCTGCAGGATTATCAGTCCAGCAACTCCACCACCGTCCACGTAGTCGTCCACCCAACCTCCCCTCCCAACTTCTCCAGAACCCGACGACTGGCCCCATTCGTCGCAAGCACATTCGCATGAACCCACACCTCGCCCTCCTCGCCAACCTCCCGCCAGATCCCTCCCCCGACCATCCCACGCGCCATCACCTCACGCGAGACCGCCTCCGCAATCCCCTTCCCGCGATGCTCCGGCTCAACAAACAACGTCGCCAAACTCCCATCAAGACCGAGAAACACCCACGCAATGGGCATCTCCTCATCCTCCTCCTCCCCCTCCCCAGGTCGATCAACATACACAGCCACCCCAGGGATTCTCGAGAGCGTCTCATCCGAGCGAGGCAGATGCGTCCGCGCACGGACAAGCGCGTACTGGTGCGGGAGGATCCCCATCCGCCCACGACGGTCCCGGAAGCGATACCCGGGGGGTAGGCCTGCATTCCCCATTCCCGCGACTGATGCCGAGTCCGCATCCCGAAACAGGTACTTGACGTACGGGGGATTATCGAACCGGTGGATCCGGAGCCCGAGACCAGGGATAGGCTCCGGGTGCGAGTAGACCCCCGACGCCTTGAGCAGGGCCATGAGGCCCGTGTGCAGGTTTCCGATCAGGAAGGCCTGCGGCGTTGGCGTGGGCTGGATCCGACCCGGCACGCTTGAGGTCGCTGTAGCGCAGGGGAGAGAGGAAAGGTACGCCGGCAGCAAGGTCTGCTTGGTATACGCGAGCAAGGCCAGGAGTTGGGCGCGAGCGAGCGCGAGAGTCTCGGGGGGGGCGTGGAGGGTGGAGATGCGGAGGTCCTTTTCAGCCTTGTCTTTGTGATTAGTGGGATATGACTGCTGCGACTCCACACTCGAGTAGATGGTCATCTGGGTCTCTCGCCCGCGTGGCAGATCCACGTACGCAGCCAGCCATGGCGCAGGCTCGGGGGGAGCATCGACCCCTGGAAACGTGGTCAGCAGTCGGGCGGTCTTGGACGGGAAGGCCAGGTTGTGCTGCAGACGCCGGAGGAGAGGGATCGAATGGGGCAGCTGGGATTTGAGCAGCGGGAGGAGCGCGCGTGGATCATCCTGGGTGGTGATCAAATCCAACCCCGAATAAAGCCTTGCATGATCGGCCGTTGTCATGTTGAATTGAGAATGGTGCACTGTACAGTAATTCACTTCGATGGAACTCGATTTCTTAAAGTATGCCATACGCTATTGAGTCATCGCTCGAATGACTAACTTAACTAGTAACTTAGTTAACCATCCCTGAGTCACTGTCAGAGTCCAACACTAACAGCTGTCGCGAAGCTTGGCTCTCGCCTAGACCCATAGTCGGGCAGTATTTGTCATGAACAGACTAATCTTACCAGGATAGGCATGTCGGCCTGCATAGCGCAAAGTGTGGCGGTGCGATTGACAGATCACTTTTTTTTACTTGTCTATTTTCAGACATTTTCGGGAAGTGATCATGGTAAGACTAAGGCTGTTAATGTCAATAGTGTGTCGCACGGATGCTTAGCGTCGCTTGTCAAGTCGGGGAGGGAAAAAGGGGATGGATGCGGATTCGTGATTATTTTCCGAGGCTCATGTTTCACTTTCGTCGGATCATGGGAGTTGATGTCAAGGATTGATTTAGAATAATAGCATCATTTTGACTACGGAGTACGGAGTACGTATTGTCGTACCGAGGAATAGAATTAATGATAGACTGCAAGCCGGGATATCCATCATATCACACAACGACAAAAGAAATGTAGCGAATGACATCCAACAAAGTATCAGTATCATGAATCATAACTCGTCATCATCCACCCCTACCAGGGCCTCCGCGGCCCCAACATCCAATCCTCCATCGCCAACCACTCGCTCCACCGCGAATCAGCAACCCGCAGCTCCTCCTCCGTAGGCTCGCGCAGCGGTCGTAGGAACGGCGTCTGCTCGTCGGGAAGAATATCATACGCCGTCTTCGTCGATGCCCATCCGCCACTCTTGGCCGCGAAGAGGTAGTTCAGCCGCTCCTGCTTACAGAGACACCCCACCCCTGCCGCCCAATCATCCCCGAAGAACATCTGCAGATTCGACGGGGTATCCTGGCCGGTGACGATCAGACGGCGGATGTACGGTCTTGGCGAGACACCCGACGCGTCTCCTGGGCTTGCGGCTGAGGCAGAAAGGCGCTGACACGGGAGTCGGATGTTGAGAAAGGCCGCCAGCGACTGGACAGCGGGCGTGTGCTGGCTCTGGGCCAGGAAGAAGCGCACACAGCCCAGGTACCGCGGGTACCAGTCGGTCAGATCCCCGGGGGAGAACTCGGTCTCCGGGGCCGGGCCAGGTCCAGTCTCAATGGGACTCGGCCCATTCTCACTGGGACTCATGGGCCAAGTCCCAGAGACAGGCGAGAGGTTCGCACGGCTACCGGAAGTGCATTCAGTCTCCATGTCCATCGACTCTGGGATGATCTCAGAAGGGCCTTCGGAACAGAGTGGGGGTCGGAAGGATACGCATAGGGACAGAGGCAGAGGAGAGTGCTTACTTGTGCGAGAGTGAGCGAGAGCTGCGAGACAAGAGGGATCTTGCATGTCCGTACAGGGAGAACTTGGCCAGCAGTCTCTGGCGGAAGCCTGTACGTTCAACGTCATGGTTGACATGGACATGAGACATGTATAACAAGTAAAGAAGGTCAATCCAGCTGATTGAAGTAATTTTGGCCGGATGTCAGGCAATCTGATGTAGAGGAGCGATACAGAAAACAGCGAGGGATGCCATCTTATAGATCTCGAGTTCTCAACCCCGTTCCGAGTAGGGAAGCGAGACGGGCATGCCGAAATCTAGCCATGAAAACAGAAAATAAAAGAAGCTCCCAGATAGGGTCGGGAAATAGTTCGTGCACGGTCTGTCGAGTGGAGTTTGCTCAGGAGAGTAAAAGGTCTGAAGGATTCGCGCCCAAATCCGATGATGCGATGCTTTTCGAGCAAACTAGTAGGGGTCTATCGATCAATGGGTCAAGCCACATCTCCACCAGCCACATCAGTCAAGCCACTGCTGAGCCATATGCCGAGGCATTACCTTAGGTTAGGACGGGTATCCATGTGGAGCTTGACCAATCAGAGGGAGCCTGGAGCTGGCGGGCCTGTGTGGCTGTGCTATGCTTTCATGCAGTCTAAGGTACCCTTTGACAATAGTGCATGCCTGAGGCCAGACGGTGGATAATTCGGATATGAGCGAATACGTACTCTCGAGAGTAGTCGGTACTCAGTACTCAATAGGCTCAGCAAACACCGTCGACCGTCAGGGTCAGTTGCACTAGACAGTAGACCATTGATCCTGGTGAACCCCGATTCCCGAGTACCTGGACTGGCACCCACGCTAGAGGAAATGATTTGGAAAACCTCAGCCACTAACCCAGTCAGTCCTATATCCGTAGATCCTGGTCTCTGGACTCGAGTCTTATCATCATCACTATTGATTTATTCTCTCTCTCCCTGTGTGTGGTTCAGCTACGCCATGGCTTCGGGGTTCTCTGGTTCTCTGGTTCTCTGCTGGACAGGATTTAGATTCGATGGTAATCTAATCAACAATAGTCAGGGAGGATCCATCCTCGGACAAATGTGACAGCTCTTTTGCGTAGAATCCATCGGGCGCACTCGGTCAATGGACTCGACGCTCAGGTGATAACACAGGGAATGTGGGTGACACAAGATGGGACGGTAACTCTTCATTCCTCTCTAGAGATCAATGCATTATGCATGAGTCTCAGGGTGTACATGTACAACGCGACAACGTAAAACGTGGCCTACTGTGAGTCTGTGAGGGTGTATCAGCAATGCAAGGGGCAGCCGCAGATCGTCGGGCATCCCGTAGTCGCTACGTACTCGTTGGAAGCAGAAACCAAGTTGAATCAGAGCGACGTCAATCTTACCGTAAGATGAAATGTTATCAAATAATTCATCTAAACAATAATAAACAATAATGATGATGCCTATATTTGTAAGGACTAACTGGGACCATCATTTCATTAATCCTGATCTGACTGGATCGATCGATCAATGATATTGTGAGAGGGAGTAGACTAGCTTAAATCATGAAAGTCTAACAGTCTAACACCAGGTACCGGCCAATGGCAGTATCACAGTGCTATTCCCAGCCTGGTGATGGATGAGATCATGACTCTGTCAAATACAAATCATCTGAATCAGTGCGCAGGGGAAAAAGCAAATGTCAACCAAGATCCAGGGTTTCATGACATGCGCACTGATCTACCCCACCTCTTGTACCTCGATGGGAGAGTATCTCACGGCCATGCAGGATTACCTTCTTATCTTCATCATGAGGATATATAGCCTTCAAGGCTCCTCATTCTCAAAGAATCAAATCAACCACCATCTTATCAATTCTCCTACTCTCCACGTTCGTTCGTTCATCATGTGCTACAAGTCCAACTATGAGCCTTATGTACGTCTCCCTCCCTATCGATTCAATTCAGAACATCACTAATGACCATTGATTGCACAGACAAGTCAAAGCCTTGACATCAAAAGGGCAGAAGATCTCTCCTCAGAAGAGCTCCTCAACCCATTGGGTTCTCTCTACCCTCACGTCGTCGCCCTCCAACTCCAGTCCGACGACACCCCATGGATCCGAGCCAAAAACTTCGCTGGCTATCAAGACCCCAATTCCTGGGCCGACGCATACTCCACAGAGGATTATTCCAAACCCTCGGTGCGCAGGAACAGTGGTGAGTTTTTTTTCTTCTGGATTTATCACATTGATCTGTCATACGCGGAAGACTAACACGACTCCAGACTCCACAGCCTGCCGATTCGTCTCGAGAATCCGCCGATTTCTCAACCGAGATGAGATGAGGAGACGCCAGCGAGCGGCCTAGTCTATCTCATTCTCATTCGCTTCACTTCTTCACCGTCTTTTCTCTTCTCCATTCCTGACTTGGTTTGAGTTCGAGTCAAGTCTCACTCCCAATCTCAGGATCAGTCTACTGCACGAAAGTTTCAGAGTGCTACTACCGCGAAATACTCTGTCTCTGATTTTATCTCCTTTGTCATTGTCATGGACCTGCATCTGCATCAATCCCTTTCATTGTGTCACTCTCGGTTGTTTTCATTCCGGTTAGCGAGGAGTTCAGGGCATCTCAAGCAAGGAGAGCATGGAATAGCATCATCACGGAGCATCAGTTTTATAATGTCTATACGATCCTGAAGCCAAGTCAATCCCAAGTAACCTAATCTTATCTAACCTAACCTAACCCAATTCGAAACGTGTGACGAACACCCTTCCACAATCCATGCGGAGATCATTCTAGCTGATTCGTGATCCCTCACATGCTCATTCCTCCAGATCACATACATACATACTCTGCCCGGTAGCCACCAATAATACACCCCGCATGTTTCAGTCCTTGTGCTTGTCGGATCACGCTTCACTATCTATCTACCGCGTAAACATCAGAATGTAAAGTATGAACCGCATGACTACGGATTTGTCAGCTACCATGCATGGACACAACAGAACAGAACACGAGGATGGACCGAGTACCACTCCATACTCTAGCCCGGAGTACAGTAACACACCTACACTGATAGACCAAGGCAACTTGATACTCATCAATCAAATCGGTAAAGATAGTGCCATCACATCACGCCTTCATAATCTTTCCTCCCGGGAATCAAGGAATAGGAACCCAGCTAGGTCAGTCAACCCATCACGACACGATCGTGATCGTCCATAAAACCTGTATCCTGTGACACTGGACGCCTAGAAGATGCGTTTCAGGCTTGGCTTTCACATCCCGAATCTTGATTCCTGGCCGCTCATTGCATGTTCTTTTTTTTTTTTTTCTCATTTTGCTTTTGCGAAGCTAGGGGTTGCGGTTGCGGTTGAGGTTGCGACGCTGCGGTACGGCGATGGTGTCGTTCTACTCGATCCGATCCTGTAGGTAGGATGATATATCACAGGGTCGAGGTGATACAGGCCATGGATCAGGTTCAACTTTGAGGCAAGGAATTATGTAGGCTTTTCGGCGCTTCAGGCGCGGTGTAGCCTCTGCACCCCGCAATCTGCATATCATTTCAAATCATCCATATCCCGGAGGAAAATGCCTCACCTCACTGCATCGCGTGCTCTATCACATCTACGGGGATCGTTGTAGATAACGAGGAACGGGAACGGGCCGTGGCATCCACAGGGGCAGAGTTAGATATTGTTTCATTTCATTGTCATTCCTTGTTCTTGCATGTCCACGTCCATGTCCTGGGCCATGTGGGTATAGTGGCAAGCCGAATATCATTACCTCAACGACAGATCAAAATCCAAACTCCAACTCCATAGCAAATAAATCAAGGACAGAGATTTTCCCTCCCAGATATCCAGAATGAGCCATCACAAAAGATCAACAAAACCGGATGATACTCCGCGTCCAGTAGAACGAGTGAACCTGAAAGCAAACGCCAGTCATCTTCGTCCCCTCGGTCATGATCATCAGTCGAATCAATAGTTTATGCAATGATGCCGGATGCACCAGACCCCGTCCCCCAGCGCAACCGCTTCAAACCGCCCCGAACTGCTTCTTGGCCGCAGCCTGCCGACACCCTGCCTCCCAGACCCCCCGCCCCTCCTTCTCCCATGACCGTCCCCACGCCAGTGCTGGACTCCAGCCTGCCAACTTCGCGACCAAGTACATACCCCGCTGAGAAACTGATGGCCGAAAAGAGTACCACGACGCCTGCGCTGATGACCCACGTCATAATGGTTGGACTGCCCGTCGACATGGACTCGGCCATTCCCGCGCGACGGCTCTTCTTGGCCGCAGGATGTCCGGTGTTTCGCTCCTTGGACGAGCTGGATCGACGCTTGGTCTTGTGCGTGCAAGGAGCCGAGTTTTGCGGGTACGGATCTGCGTGCCTTTTGCTGGAGCGACGAGACCTGGTCGAGCTGGTCTCCGTGGCAGACTGTTCCTCCTTCTCGCTGACCTCCTCTTCGCCCATCGCTACCGATTCGGACACCAGGCGGAACGATGACGGGGCCCCTCTCGAAGGCCCAGCCGGCGAAGGCTGCGGATCTGACTTGGGCAATCCCCTGGCGGCCGCCGCACATGAGAGAAGTGTGGACAGACTAGCACGAAGAGCAGCATCGTGATCTGCATGATACGATGGTGAGATCATGTTGTATGGGCTGTGCTGATGCTGCGAAGGCCGTCTGGCCTGTGAGTTTCTTCGAATCGCAGTCTGCCGACTCGAGTTGGAGACTGTACTGGGCTGGGATTGATGGGTGCCCGTCGCTCTCGTCCAAGAAGGGTTCTCGCAAGCGGGCGGATGAGAAAACACGTTGGGCTGCGGAACAAAGGGCGATGAGCTGATCCGCATCCCCAGTGCCGTTGATGCATCGTCTTCATCGCTCAAGATGGTCGCATCTTGCTCGGGCAAGGAAGGCCCGGTCCGCGAAAGGAGAGGCATCTCAACGGGTGCGCGGGTCATGTCTTCGTTGGAACTGCTAAGCACATGATCCGATTCACTTTCACTTTCTTCATATTCATCCTGGCTACTGCTGGTCTCCCGGGGCGGATAGTCGACGTGCGCTGTGGCCACGGCTGCCAGTTGTTGCAAACGACGGCGCCGACTACGGTGATGATATGACCTGGATTCCGTACGCTCGACACGCAGGCCGGTAGTAATAATATCATCATTTGTTGCGGCGGATGAAAGGGAGGAAGAGGACGGTTGGGACGATACTTCGATCCACGAATCTATATAATACCGGAGTGAGTACATTGTGCCACAATCGTTGATAGCGAATAAACATGTTGATAAATTTGCGGTCGAAGGAACATCACCAGAGCGAGGCGACGAGTATATCAACCAACTGACCTTCAGATCTCGTGAGCGCAGCACCCGATGGAGACCGTGACTGAAGGATGTTCTCCCGAAGCGGCTGATGAGCCTCTCTTGTCATCCGGGGGGCAGGTCGGGACTCATCCTGTTGCACCTGACCCAGCAGGTCATAGTGATTTGGCTGCATTGTCTGTATCTACAACTGATCTGAAAGAGTCTAGGAGAGTAGATAGAAAGAAGTTTGAGCCCTCTGGTTAGACTAGAGAAAGAGGGGTATTAAGTCAGACCACGCAGGAAGAGACAGAGCGGTCAAGACAGACGACCAACAAAGTAAGGAAGCTGATGGGAAGCCGGTGGGGTTCGTGGGGAAGAGAACCACTGGGTCATCGACGAGGCAGCGCGGCAGCAGCAGAAGTATTATTCTTATCAAGGTGGAGTCCCGGCAAATCTCTGGCAGGAGATCATCAACCAGGTTTGTGATCGATGACGATAAGTAAACCAGATGAATCAGGTCGAGGAGGTTGAAAAGGCTGAAGTAAGGTAGGTTTGTCCTGATGGACGTCAAGAGGATCACCAGACTGTGGGCAGGTGACTCTTGGGCGCGCACACACGACCAGTATATAGACCTCTGGAAATCAGAGAGGAACACAAGACACACAACAAAGAAACCCACATCTATAGGAGCAGAAGAATCAAGAAGAAGGGAGCTTTGAAGAGAAGATGAAAAGACGATGCAGCATGATAAGCGAGATAGATAGTCAGAGACGTGGACGAGTGCTGATCAAAGAAACCAGCGCCAAGATTGAAGCCACAAACGCGGGGCACCAACCACGTCCCAGACAGCGCTCGTGCTGTCGATCAGCAACTCTGAAGATATCACCACAGCACGCTCTCACTGTCTACTAGACAATGGAAAAACAGATTTGAGAATGTCACTGACCATTCATATTACCCAAGTAGTCGATCTATATAGTACAGACACATTCACATCAGAACTTAAAACGATCAACTTTTTGGAACCCATATAACCCAGACATAACCCAGATCTTTTGTAAGCCGTAGAAAAAACGCCTGAATCAAGACACCATGTTGCTACTCATCTAGAAGGTGACCTTGGTGCCCTTATACTCGGGGATACCACCACGGGCCTTGTTGGGGGCACCGCCGCCGCGACCTCCGAAGCCTCCACGACCACGGCCACCTCCGCGAGGACCACCGCGAGGACCACCGCGGCCGCCGCGACCGCCGAAGCCGCCACGGCCACCACGAGGAGCATCGCCGTTGCTGGGGCGGGGAGTGCTGAAGTCGAGACGGACGGGACGGCCGTTCAGCTCAGCGCCGTTGAGTTCGTTGAACGCCTGGCGAGCCTCCTCAACCGAGGAGAACTGCACGTAACCAAAGCCCTTGGGCCGGCCCGACTCGGGGTCGGTGGGCAGACGAATTCCAACAATGGTACCTGTCTGACCGAACAGCTCAGAGACGGAGTCCTCGTTGGCGCTGAAGGGGATGTTGCCGACGAACAGGGTGTCGCTCTCGGGGCTGGTCTGGTCGCCGAAGTTACGAGCGCGAGTCTGAGCGCGGTCCTGGAATCCACCCTGCTGGTTGTTGTTGTTGGCAGGACGGCCAGTGGCATAGTCGAGGTTGATCTTGCGACCATCAAGTTCCGTGTCCTTCTTGGACTCGTAAGCCTTGGCAGCATCGGCAGCGCTGACGTACTCGACATAACCGAATCTGGATGCAGCTTAGTAAGGTGAAGAAATCATAAGTAGTAGAGCTAAACTTACCCACGGGAGCGACCGGAGTCGCGGTCGGTGACAATGCGAACACCAGAAAGCTCACCGAAGCTCTCGAACTCCTGGCGGAGCCACTCTTCGTCGACGTTCCAGGACAAGTTACCAACGAAAAGGTTGGCAGAAGCGCCGGTAGCCTCCTCATCAGTCTTCTTCGACTTCTTGGTGGCGGCAGCAGGCTCCTCCTCGGCCTTGCGCTTCTTGGAGGGCTTCTCAGACTCGGACTCGGAAGAGTCAGAGTCAGAGCCCTCGGAGTCCTCAGACTCATCAGAATCCTCAGATTCCTCGGAAGATTCCTGAGACGGTCAGACAAAATCATAAAGAGTGCGAGCCATAAGTACGTACCTTCTCAGCCTTCTTAGCCTTGGCAGGAGCCTCGTCCTCGCTCTCAGACTCGGACTCGGAATCCTCGCTGTCGCTAGAATCCTTCTTGGCGGCCTTCTTGGGGGCCTCCTCCTCGTCAGAGTCGGACTCGGACTCAGACTCAGAGGACTCGGAAGCGTCAGCCTTGGCCTTGGCCTCCTTCTTGGTAACCTTCTCATCTTCAGACTCGGACTCAGACTCAGAAGAGGATTCAGCCTTCTTGGCCTCCTTCTTGGCAGGCTTCTCATCCTCGTTCTCACTCTCACTCTCGCTGCTGGAAGCGTCGTCCATCTCCTCGTCGCTGTCGGAATCCGACTCAGACTCGGAAGAGGCCTTGGCGGCCTTCTTGGTCTCCTTCTTCACCTCCTTCTTGGCAGGCTTCTCCTCCTCGCTCTCGCTCTCGCTGCTAGAGCTGGAGGACTCCATCTCCTCATCGCTGTCAGACTCGGAGCTGCTGCTAGGGGTAGGCTCCTTCTTCTTGCGCTTGGACTTCTCCTTGGAAGCGAGCTCGCGAGCGATCTGCTTGCTCTTGGCCTTGGGAGACTGGGAAACCTTGGTGACGCCAGCGTCCTTGACCTTGCTCAAGGCCTTGTCGACGGGCTTGTCGGCGCCCTTCTTGGTAACGGACTTGGTCTTAGACATTTTGTACTAGGCAAAACGACGATTAGCTTGAGCATCAACACGGCAGGCCAGAGAGTAGTATACTCACTCAAAGATCCTTCAAAAGTGGAAAGTTGTAATTGTGCGGCAAAGCCTACAATCCCTCAATCACCCGATTTGATTTAGAGCCCCTTGATGTAAAATCCAGGAGTGATGACCTTATCACAGCTGGACGTAAATCTCAACACGAATGGAAGAGATTTAGCACAAATACCCACAAGTAACCCACAACGACAGTGTTCAAGCCCACAGAGACGGACAGGAAATATGCACTCGTCTATAATATGAAACCCACGAGAGTATCCCACAGATCCCAAAGAATAGATTGCAATATGCCACAGCCCACAGCCCTCAGTGTATTAAGCCCACAGGATGTCTGTTGAAGTGTACTTTGCAAAGTACGGCCCACGCTGCTGTGTCAGTTAAGAATATGTTTTTTTCTAGAAGGGAAGACTGAAGAGTTTCACTGAATCAAAAATGATCCAAGTGAGATGAGTGTATGGAAGTGGTTTGATAAAGGGAAAAAGGGTGAGGATGAAGAGAAAGAAAAAAACCTCGAGAGCTTTGATAAGATTTTAGAAAAAAAAAAATTTCCAGAGGTTGGCAGAGATTTACGCACACCGCCTACTTTGTAGAAGCTAGCTGAGGCACTATGCCACAGTTACTTAAGAAAAAGTGGGTACCTGGTAGGTACTCGATTTGCACACTGCCGGTCGCTGGAACCAGAGTGTCACTTGCTGGTAGCATCCAGTTCCACCTCCGCAGACCACCACAGCTTCTCTACCCCAAACTGTTTATTCAACTACCACTGGGCGTTCTTCACACTCTTATCGAATCTCTCTTCTTCTGAGATAGACTATACCGAGCCAATGGGAGACAGGTGATACTGTTGTTGTCTGACCAACATGGCTCCTCCAACCCCCTCATCCCATAGACCACGGAAGAGGAGAAAGTATCCCACCAGCTCGAACAACTCTCTCATTCTTGAAACTGAGGGTGGAAAATCATCCCCCGCATTCCCTCTCGTCTCGTTCTTGTGGGCTGCCCGAGCTGGTGTATCTCAATGGCTGGTGCTACCTCTGATCCTTATGGCGGTGGGCCTCTTCCGTTGGGCTGTCAGTCTATGGGGCTACTCTGGTTTGTGCAATGCCTGGATGTTGAGAATATGCGTCCAAGTAATCTGACTGACCTATTTTTATGCAGGTTTTCAGGTGCCTCCGATGCATGGGGATTTCGAAGCGCAAAGACACTGGATGGAGCTCACCATTCACCTGCCCATGTCGAAATGGTATCTCTACGACTTGCAATACTGGGGACTTGATTACCCCCCTCTGACGGCATACCATAGCTGGCTGCTGGGAAAGATGTACGTCGGTCTCTGGGACATATGACAAGAAAGGCGTTTGTTGCTGACAATCAGTAGTGGAAGCGTTCTCGAGCCCTCTTGGTTTGCCCTGGATGATTCGCGCGGCTTCGAGGATCCAAGATTGAAGGTCTTCATGCGGGGAACCGTGGTCGCTTCCGAGTACCTTGTCTACATTCCGGCCGTCGTTAATTTTCTTCGTCGTTATACTCGGATGCAAGGCGTTCCAGTCTGGTCCGCCTCAATTGCCCTCGTCGCGATTCTACTGCAACCGGCAACAATGCTCATCGATCATGGTCACTTCCAATATAATACCGTGATGCTGGGACTTGTTGTCGCAAGTTTGGATGCTATATTGGCCGGGCGGATGCTGTGGGCTTGTCTCTTCTTTGTGGGCGCCTTGGGCTTCAAGCAGATGGCGCTCTATTACGCTCCGGCCATGTTTGCTTTTCTTCTAGGCGTTTGCATCTTCCCCAGGATACGAATTCTTCGCCTCCTGAACATAGCCATCATCACCATCATTGCGTTTGCGCTACTATTTGCCCCGTTGCTTGTCGCCGCAACCAATGCCGAAGCTCGAGGCTATCTGAGTGCATCTCCACAGCCTCCTTTGCTCCAGGCTCTGCCCATCAAGCTGTCAAACGACTCGTTTTTGTACGCACCCATCTTTCAGCTGATGCAAATCATTCACCGTGTGTTCCCATTCGCCCGTGGTCTGTTTGAAGACAAGGTTGCCAACGCCTGGTGCGCCGTCCACACGTTCTACAAGCTTCATCGGTTCGAGGCGGGTCTTCTCCAGCGGGTCTCACTTGGTGCCACACTGGCATCCATTATAGTTCCTTGTGGTATCATTTTCCGCCACCCGCGAGCATCGCTGCTGCTCCCAGCTTTGGCCAGCGTAGCCTGGGGCTTCTTCCTTTTCTCCTTTCAGGTTCATGAAAAGAGTGTGCTGTTGCCCTTACTTCCCATGACACTTCTTCTCGCAAGTGATGGCGGCCTGAGCAAAGACACCCGCGCCTGGGTTGGATGGGCCAACGTACTTGGCTCCTGGACCATGTATCCTCTTCTCAAGCGCGACGAACTCCGGATCCCGTACTTTGTCATGACAGGTCTCTGGGCCTATCTGATGGGTCTTCCACCAAGTTCCTTTGAGATATATCGCAGCCGAACCCCTGTGGGCGAATCAAGTCCTGTCTCTGAGCCTCACATACTCACGAAACTTCTGCATTCTTGCTTCTACCTGGCCATGATCGTTTGGCATGTCCTCGAAGCATTTGTGCCTCCACCGGAGAGCAAACCCGATTTATGGGTGGTGCTGAACGTTCTGATTGGCGCGGGAGGATTTGGTATTGCTTACCTGTGGTGTATGTGGAGGCTGATCACGCAATGCTGGCAGTTTGATCGCAAGGCGGCAGAAGAGGAGAGCCGGAAAAAGAAGCAGTGACAGCCGAGGAGGGTCGGAGGCCCGAGTTCTTGAAGAATTTCTCAAATGATACCCATTTTATACTTTTCAAATGTATTTTATAACCTTCAGACGGGTGGAAAATCGATTGTCATTTTCTCCAACCTCGTACGTTCGGAATCCGTTCAGAATCAAGGAGAGATGTTCTATTCACTTGTCTGACAAACGCCTTGTCAGACAACTATATACTGTAGTGTACATAAGTATGCATCGACAAAAACTCCGCACAATGATGCTAATATACAATCTAAAAATCAAACCGTAGCCCATAACTTAACACCTGGCCCATAGTACACAGCCTTATTCCCAATCCATCGCTCAGCATTCGATCAACACCGAGAAGACGTCCAAGTCATACATAGCCCGGCGTACTCGACGCGCGCCGTAAGTTTGTCCAACGAGATCAATGGACAAACAGACTGCGAGACATGCTTGCCATCCACTCCACCAGCCTAAACCTTGAACCCGTATCCAGCCATGCAGGCCTTGTACTGCTCAATCAGGGGCTTGCACTCTTGAGCCGGGTCATCGCTTTTCGAGAACAACATGCAGTCATCCCGGGCTGCCTTTTCGGTCTTGCAGACGCAGCAGGGCTGTAGATGAGATGGTCAGATGGGTTCTTTCGGGGGCCGCGGCGCAATGCGCTCAACCACGTACCTTGGGTTTCTCGGTGGATGTTGACTGGGCGGCTGCGGGAGCGGGAGTCTGTTCGGCAGCACCTGGGGGGATAATATTAGCATTTATAGTTGAATTTCGAGGGTGGAATGGGGCGCGGAATGGGAAAAGGTGTTCGTGGGTATAGTTCTATCGGAGAGATGCGGAGAACAATCTGGAGAGTGCATACCTTTGGAAGAGCCGAAGAACCACGACATGGTGAGATTCCTGATTCCTGAGGGAAAAATATGAGATGTTCAAGCAGAACGATGTGCGACAGAGGTTGAGGATCTATGTACAGATATGAAGCAGATGATGACAGGCGAAGGAGCTGGACTGCTGATTAATTGACCGCAATGGAGAGGAAACGGCGCATTTGGACTCTGCGGGTTGCCGGAGCGCCGGTCGGGAATTTTTTCTGTATGGGTCCTTTGTTTGCATTTTTTGAGGGGGCAAAATAATGATGGCGGAGGGATTTTCTCTTTCCCCTCCGTTATTCGAACAGCGAATACTGTCAACACCTGCAATCTCTCTGACTATCTGATTATTCTGTCTGATCAACAGTGCTCAAAGTGTACACACTTTCACGCAATTTTCATATCTCTTTGGATTGTTGGTTAATTCTCCGGTTTTTTGTTTGCCCCTGAAACTACCCCACCATGACCCCTCCAAAGGTCTTTTCGCTTGAGGGCAAAGGCCTCAAATTGGACACTGCTGAAGACATCGAGGCCCATATCAAGCCACTAATTGAAAGCACTGATTTCACCGAGATTCGTCTGGGTGGTAACACCCTTGGTGTACCAGCTTCAGAACGCCTGGCCCTGGTACTTGCGTCGCAGAAGAACCTCCAAGTCGCCGACCTCGCTGATATCTTCACCTCCCGCCTGCTTTCCGAGATCCCCCAGGCTCTGACTGCCCTTCTCAATGCGCTGCTTGAGATCGAAACTCTCCACACCGTCAACCTTTCCGACAACGCGTTCGGCCTGAACACCCAGGCGCCCCTCGTCGACTTCCTCTCCCGCCACGTGCCCCTCCGCCATCTGATCCTGAATAACAACGGGCTGGGTCCCGCTGCCGGTACGCTTATTGCCGATGCGCTCACAAAGCTTGCGGATCGCAAGGAGGAGGCCCGCAAGGCCGGCAAGGAGGTTCCTCTTTTGGAAAGCATTGTTTGCGGACGGAACCGTTTGGAGAATGGCAGTATGGAAGCGTGGGCAGGTGCCTACAAGGTACACGCTGCAGGTATCCGCTCCGTCAAGATGACGCAGAATGGTATTCGTCAGGAGGGTATTTCGCTGCTTTTGAAGGAGGGTCTTCGTCACGCTAGCGTCCTGGAGGTTTTGGACTTGCAGGACAACACATTCACCATCATGGGATCTACTGCTCTCGCCGGTGTTGTGGCTGGATGGCCCTCTCTGCGTGAACTCGGTGTCGGCGACTGCCTGCTATCCGCACGCGGTGGTGTCAAGGTCGCTCAGGCTTTGGCAGAGGGCAAGAACCAGAGCATTCAGACTCTGCGTCTGCAGTACAACGAAATTACGGCCGAGGGTGTGAAACAGTTTTTGCACGCCACGAAAACCGCCCTTCCGTCTCTTCGCCGCATCGAGCTTAACGGCAACAAATTCCTCGAAGACGACCCGAATGTGACAGAGTTGCAGGAGGTTTTGGATGCGCGCAAGGAAGAGCACGGCACCGATGACGATCCGGAGGACATGTGGGGTGTGGATGAGCTGGATGAGCTTGAGGAGGAGAGTGAAGAGGAGGAGGAGGAAATTGAGGAGGAGGCCGAAGAAGAAGAGGGGGAGCGCAAGGCCGACAAGTTCCTCAAGGACAATGTGAAAGCGGAAGACGAGAAGGTCGCTCAGAGACAGGACGAGGATGTCGATGCTCTTGCGGAGGCTCTGGGCAAGACTGCTCTGTAGATTTTGCGGAGTCATCTTGATTGCTCGTTTACGCAGCCCCATTTCCCTGTCTTGTTTCCCGACTCAGTGGCGACCAGGCTTATCTCGCAGCGGTCATGGATGTATGACCATACTGAACGGCATGTCTAGGAAGACAGCGCCAACATGGCGCCGACAATGAACGGGGGAATAGCCGACCGCACTTACAGTGACCCGAAGTTGGGTCAAATAGTGCCTTCACGACGAGTTCATCCCGATATCTTCCTGCCTTCGAACTACCACTACGAGTGACCATAATCAGGTTGCATTCATTGCGTTGAAGCCCACCATAGCGTTCCAATCGCGTCCTTTACTGCACAGATACGCGGATAGATTTATGCCATCATCCCCTTTTGATTGTCCCATGCAGCATATTACTACCCCCTTACTCATGTATATAATGTTGAAAAGTGAATGAATCTGATGTGCGACGGCCATTGCATGCTGAAGTATTGGCAGTCATTCGATGATAGACTTCATGCTAAGTAATCTACTGATTGAGCATCAATCCCAAAGCCAGTACATAGTCATTCAACCTGCTCCTAGTGAGCCATTTCTGAGGGCTCAAATACTCGTCCCAGCTGTCATGAAAGCTGTGAGTACTCGGCACGTGGGAGCTGCCGAAAAGAGCAACGCTGGTCTTGGCGCGGAAGTTCACTAATTGCTTCATCTTCATTATTACAACTTGTCCACCAACTTCAAGTTCTCCGCCATTTTCATCTCACTTCGCCGGTCTCTCTGTTGCTCGCCTTTGCTTGCACCGTCGCAGACTCCTCTTCTCGCTCTCGTTCAGGGAATTCGCTCCGAAGCCGCTACTTATCGGGTCACAAGACCTCGACGTTGTGGAAGTGAGTTGAAGCAGCAGTTCCCTTTGCTTCACTGGCTTTTCGTCAAGTCTGTTTGCAGTTTTTTTCTTGATGAGCTGGGCGCTTTAATAATACGAGGTATTGAATGCGTGTCTCTTGCTCAAGTGATGAGAGCATCCGCAGCTACAGCCATCTTCAAGGCACGTGCTGCCGGATGTGCCGCGACAGTGATGGCAAACGCTTGTCGCAGAGGAATCTTGTCGGATTCGGTTACGGCTACTTGCGACTGTCATTTCGCATTTAGTCATTCCGTCTAAACTTTGTACCTATCGTTGACTGTTTTTGATTATGCGCTACATCTACAAGTGATTTGGCCTTCTGGTTTTGCTAAGACTGACGCAGGTACAATTCTCACGCCACGTCCACTCCCTATCTTCGTCCGATCTCCGACCGACGTCGGTCAAAATGCCGATGGATGCGAAAGAAATCGAGCTCAAGGCGAAGGCCTTGACGAAAGCCGCCACCCAGAACGAGCCCGCAGCCAACATCGTGTCACTGCTTAAGGAGCTGCAAAGCGGAGTGAAGGCAACGGAGGATCTGCTGCGGTCGACGCGCGTCGGAATCATCGTCAACAAGTTCAAGCAGCACAAGTCGCCCGAAGTCGCCCGTCTATCCAGCGAAATCGTCTCGAAATGGCGAAACGAGGTTAACAAGCAAAAGGCCAGCGGGTCACCGTCCGTCAGCCAGCGTTCGAGCGGCTCGCCACGCCCAGCACAGAACGGCGCCGCGTCGCCTGCCGGGACAACCCCGTCGGACAAGATGTCGAAACTTTCTGTTCCCCCAGACAAGCGGACGTGGAAGGCGGACGGGGTGGATGTCAATCAGACTTCGAACAAGATCCGCGATAGTTGCATTGGGCTGATGTATGATGGGTTGTGCCTCAACTCGACCGAGTCGCCTCGAGCGGTGCTGTCCAAGGCCTGCGCGGTGGAGGCGGCGGCGTTCAGCGCTTTGGGCCCGGAGACCAAGGAGCAATACCGCACCAAGATTCGCAGCTTGTATCAGAACCTCAAGAACAAATCTAACCCGACGCTACGGGTGCGTGTCTTATCGAATGAAGTGACGCCCGAGCAGTTCGTGAAGATGTCGCACGATGAGCTCAAATCCGCGGAACAGCGCGAGCAGGACCGCAAAATTCAGAAGGAGAACATGGACAAGGCTATGGTCGCGCAGGCCGAGCGCAGTATCAGTACCAGTCTGCAGTGCGGCAAGTGCGGTCAACGCAAGGTCACCTACACCGAGGCGCAAACACGCAGCGCTGATGAACCGATGACCCTGTTCTGTACGTGTATGAACTGTGGTAAATCGTGGCGGCAGTAATCTTTCCTTTCCGGTGTTTCTTTTCGTTTGTTGGCCTCGTACTGAGGCCTTTCTGGTTCTATTGCCGACAGGCACGGAGTTTGAGTGGTTCTAAAAGACGGCTATTTTGTGTCGTCATGGGCGTGGGAGGGCTAAACCATGATGATTTATTATTCTGAATTATTCTGTTCCTCTTCAGGTGCGGTTCTCTTTATGCTAGCTGATTGAGTAGATAGTGGATATGGCATCTGCTGCATTCGCACGCCAGACAAGACTGTAAACAGTCTATATGGGCCTCAAGCCAATGATACAAATCTGCTACTTACGAAACTATGGGACGGTCTCTATCCGCATCGCACTATTTCAGACCCAATGCTCAAGTAAATACAGACGTCATGGCTATGTAAGTCATAACAAATAACTACCACCCACAGCATCATCAAGTACAAACAACAGCACATCCTATCCCATTCCATTCCATTCCATCCAAACATTAAAGCAACATCCCCCAACCCCAAAATCAAAAATGACCTCCCCAAAAACCTACACCCGCAGCGCCCTGATCCAACCCACCGCAGCCCTCTGCGACGCCTTCGCCTCCGCAGCCCCCGTCCCCGTCCTCCTCAGCCATTTCACAACGAACCCCCTCCCCATG